GGGGCAAAGCAGGCACAGGGACACTCAACGGGAACAGGGATGTGGAAAACCCAATCCCAGGGAGCAGAGATTGGCTGCAGCCAGTCCAGCCCTGACCCTGCAGGGCTCTATTTCTGCATGTCACACTGCAGGAGGAGGACGATGGAGGGGTCGCTCTTGGCTGCCTCCTTGAACTCCTCCAGGGAGATCTGGTCATCCTTGTCCTTGTCCATCTTTGTGAAGATCTTGTCGACGCGCTGCTGCGGTGTCAGCCCGTCTTGGTTCATCCTCATCATGATCACAGTCCCCACCATCTTGTAAATGGCCTGGAGGAGCAAGAGAAGCAAAGGACCAGAGTGGGAATGTTGGATGGACAGAAGGTTCCAGGACAAAATATGGGACAGGATCACTGCTTTCTGGGAGCCAACATGGGTTATGTTGCTGCACAGCTACATCAGGTGCTCACCAGGTACCTTTCAGACAAGGCTCTAGGCAGGAAAAGTCATCCTTTAGTGCCAAAAGGACCTAACAGCTGGGAAAAGCCTGGGAAAAGCCTGGGAAAAGCCTGGGAAAAGCCTGGGAAAAGCCTGGGAAAAGCCTGGGAAAAGCCTGGGAAAAGCCTGGGAAAAGCCTGGGAAAAGCCTGGGAAAAGCCTGGGAAAAGCCTGGGAAAAGCCAGCTACCCCTGCTGCTTTTAAGCACCGGTACCTCAATGATCTCCAGCATCTCCAAGCGCGTGATCTTGCCATCCCCATCCAGGTCGTACATCTCAAAGGCCCAGTTGAGTTTCTGCTCAAAGGTGCCCCTGGAGGTGACGCTCAGGGCACAGATGAACTCCCTGAAGTCGATGGTCCCATCGCCGTTCTTGTCGAAGGTGCGGAATGCGTGCTGGGCAAACTTGGAGGCATCTCCATAGGGGAAAAACTGCAGGGAGGGGAGAAGAGAGAGGTGGAAATGAGGAGGGGGAGCTACAGGGTGTTGGAGCCCTGGAGGCAGCCCCAAACACCCCCCCGGTAGAGCCCACCTTGATGTAGAGCTGCTGGAACTCCTCCAGGTTGAGGATACCGGTGGGACAGTCCTTGAGGAAGCCCTTGTACCACTGCTTCAGCTCCTGCTCGCTGAACTCCGTGTTCCTCACCAGGTCATCCAGCATCTCCGGGGCCAGTTTGCTGCTGTGCTTGCCCATGGCTGCCCCTGCGAGGGAAAGCATGGATCTGACACAGTAGGTATGGAGAGGGCTGGTGCTCCCAGGACCTCGCTGCACCCTGGCAGCTGGTTAACCCCACACCATGGTGTCCATTGCCTTCTATTACAGGACAAAGAAGAGGCCCCACTGGGCTCACAGTGCCCAGCTGGTGGCCGAGGACAGACTGTGCCGTGGGGCACGGGCAGAGCCTGTGTCTGTGTGGGCAGGCCGTGGAGCCGCTCCGATACACGCCGTGCCCGCTCCCACGCAGCACCGGCTGCCAGCGCGGCACAGCCCGAGCACCAGATGGTTTGCCGAGTGCTCCTGGAGCTCCTCTCTCCATGGAGTTGAGCAGAAGTTAACCTGGAGCCTGACCAAGCTCCATCTCCCATCCAAGCATCCGATTTCCTGGCCATGTGGGCTCAGGGGACAAAGGGGTACCCTGCGATGGGCACAAGCCTTCCCCCCCCCCGCGGGAATGTGAGGCTCCCATCCAGCCCCCTCCCAGTGAATCCCACAGGCAGAGGCTGCTTCCTGCCCCATCATCCCACCAGCATCTGTCACCGTCTGCTGTGGCAGCGCTTAACCCACCACCCCTCGGCAGCCAGCACTAAGGAGACATCCAGACACCCACTGAGCACGACGCTTCCCAGTGATGCCCAGCCGAGCCCTCCTGCATCAGAGCCCAGCTCTGACCTGCAGGGACAGGTTAATCCCCACCGTGTACCACACTCATGTCCTCCTGCATCTCCCACCACCAGCTCAAGGGGCAGCTCTTCCCATCAGGGAACAGCAGTGAGGACCGTTGCTAGAAGCATCACACCATATCCTGCAAGCCAAGCCCTCAAAAAGGCCAGGACTCAAAAGCAGCATCCTTTGGTCCACAGACCTCGATTCCCTTCTGAGCAAGACCCAGCACAGGCCAGGACAGGACAGGGGACAGCAGCAGGGACATCACCCACTTGGCATGAACTCAAACCACCAATATCATCATGGGCTGTTGGTCCCAACACAGGACAGAGGAGGGGGCAGCAGGATTGTCCCTCCCCGGGTCCGCACCCTGGGCTGCGCAGGGCACCCAGCATCACCCACCGGATCGGCACCCACCGGGGAGCAGGGGAGGGGATGGACGGGGTTACGGGGCCGGGGGCTGATCCGGGGCACCGACCCCGATAACCCCGGGGAACCGAGTCCCATCCCCGTGGGGGGGCACGGTCCCGGTGAGCCTTACCTGTCGTGCGGCGCGGACGGCGGCGGGGCCGGTGCCGGTACCGGAGGGGCCGCGGTCCAGCCCGGCGGCTCTGCCCGCGCCGCTCCCGCCTCTCTTGTAGCCGCGGGCCGCCCGTCCCCCCCCGGCGGCAGCGTTCGCCCATTGGCTGGGAGCGCTGTCAATCAACCGAGAGGGGCAGGAGGGGGGGTCGAGGTGGGATATTGGGGGGTATTGGGATGCTGGTGGAGGGAAACGGCACTGGGATGCTGGGGGATGGTGGAGGGGAAAGTGGAGAGAGACTGGGATGCAGGGGGGATGCTGGCAGTGGGATGCAGGGAGGATGCTGGAACCATAATGCAAGGACCAGGATGTGGGGACCGGGACGCAAGGGGGATGCTGGCAGTGGGATGCAGGGAGGATGCTGGAACCAGGATGCTGGGACCAGAATGCAAGGACCACGATGTGGGGAGCGGGACGCAAGGGGGATGCTGGCAGTGGGATGCAGGGAGGATGCTGGACCAGGATGTGGGGAATCGGACCAGTGTGGGGAGCGGGACGCAAGGGGGATGCTGGCAGTGGGATGCAGGGAGGATGCTGGAACCAGGATGCTGGGACCAGAATGCAAGGACCAGGATGTGGGGACCGGGACACAAGGGGGATGCTGGCAGTGGGATGCAGGGAGGATGCTGGAACCAGGATGCTGGGACCAGAATGCAAAGACCAGGATGTGGGGACTGGGACGCAAGGGGGATGCTGGCAGTGGGATGCAGGGAGGATGCTGGAACCAGGATGCTGGGACCAGAATGCAAGGACCAGGATGTGGGGACCTGGACACAAGGGGGATGCTGGCAGTGGGATGCAGGGGGGATGCTGGCAGTGAGATGCAGGGAGGATGCTGGACAGGATGCTGGGGGGGTGTGGGGGATGTGGCAGTGGGATGCAGGGGGGATGCTGGCAGTGGGATGCAGGCAGTGCTGGTTCAGCATCAGGGATGCTGCAGGCCCTGCCTGCCTGAGGGTGCCAGCCTGGTGATGAGTGAGCAGAGCCCTCCTGCACTCCCTGCCCTGCTGCCACTTGCTGCTTGTTTCCTCCTTGCTCACCTGCCTCTGGCTCCTGTTCCTGGTGTGCCTGATCCCAAAGCATCCCAAAATCCCTTCCCTTGTGCTTGAGGGGTGGCAGAGGCCGTGCTGCCTGTATCCCCCTGCCAGGGACCCAGCAAGGCCACACACTGAGGGGCACACCAGGACCTCCATGCTTGGCAGAGCCGTGGCTGAAGCACAGAGGGAAAAGGGCCCATGAATCTGCCCTGATCTCCAGAACCAAACTTGGAACGTTTCCATAGCAATCACTGGTGGCTCTTCCCAGTGACCTTGGTCATCCCACCATGATCCCAGTGCCACCCAGCCGGTGGTGACTGAGCCGGGACGAAGTCTCCAGCCAGCCAGAGCTGGTCCCACACCTTGTTCCCAAGGGGGCTGTGGGATGCCATGGGGTGCTCCCCTTTCCCACTGGGGCTGCAGGGACCCATCATGTTGGGTGCAGAAGGAATGGACACCCCGTTGCTGGACACACATCCCTGCACCATGCCCTTGGCCAGGGATGGATCCCCACCTGGGCTGGGGTGATTCAGCCCCGCAGCTTTCAGGCCCCTCCACTGGGCACATGGCCCCAAAACCTCTCCATGAGCCTCCCCAAGAGCACAGGGGGATGAGCCCCCCCAGGCACCCCACTGCTGGTTCTCGTGTGCTCAGCTCATGGGGTGGGCTGTGCCAAAGGGGCTGGAAGAGTTTGGGGAGCACCAGGATGTGGGTGCCACAGTGATGCCCTGGGCCAGCTGTGGGATACTGAGGCATCCAACTTTATGGGGCTGTGACACCCCAAGTCCCAGTGCTGAGGAAATGGGAATGGCCGCACTGGTACCCCCAAGCACCGGGCTGGAGCACCCGGCTGAGCCCAGGGACTACATCAGGGCACCCCAAAACCCTCGCATGAGCCCAGGCTCAACTGGGGTGTTGGCCCTGGGGCAGCAGGGGGGCTCCAGCCTGTCTGGGCTCTGCAGACGGCGCTGGCTCCGCGCTGCCCTTTGCTCCCCACTCCCGCAGCATCACCCCAGCTCCGTGCCCCGGGCTCGGTGCAGAGCTCAGGACCCCCCCCCCCCGGGTTCCCCAAAGCCCTCGTTACCCAGCGGCGCTGCGGATGCGAAGGGCTGCAGCTTCCCCCAGCGGCTACGGGCTGCAGCAGCACGGCCTGGGGGGGGGCAGTGCCCAACGGGGTGGGGGACATCATCCCTTGGGGAGCAGCCACACGAACCCCTCCTGGCCTGGTGCGGGGAGGACCCGAGGGAGGATGGATGGTGCCGCCTGGCCCAAACGGGGCTCTGGGGACACGCGTTTGATTTGTCCCCATGGCAGTGGCACCGGGTGGGTTACGTGGCTGTCCCCACGGTGCCATCCCGGGGCTGTGCTGGGAGCTAAGGAAAACGTGGGGCTTCGCTCCCCGCGTTCAGAGCTGGCTGTGACAAGAAGGGGGGGGACCGCGGAGCATCCCCGCAGCGGGACCCGCAGCCCGGGCCCAGGCAGCCGCCGGCGCGCAGGGGGTTAAACCTCCCCGCCTTGCTCGCACTGGAGACGTCACCGTCACCCGTGTCGGGGCCGGGGGGGTTATGGTGGTCTTTGTGGTGCGCTCCGCGCTGGCGCAGGGCTCCCGGCGCTTCCCAACGCTCCGCAGCACCCGCAGGCACCGGCCGCCGCCTTCAGCCCCCTCCGACACGGTGAGAGACCGGACACGGGGGCCACCGGGGGGCGGGGGGGGCTGTAGCATCCGCTGGTTGTGTCCCCCATACACCCAAACCCGTGTTAAGGCCCCTCTTTCCCTTTGCGCCCCCAAGCCCGGTGCACCCAGCGCTGGCAGCATGGGGATGCGCGGTGGGTGCAGCTCCCCACCGCGGGATGATGCTGTAACCCCAATAGGGGGATCTGGGTGGGTGCGGGAGCGTGGCGGGGTGCTGCGGCTCGGCTCCTGCGGTAAATCCTGCCGCTCACCCGCAGCCGCAGAGACGGAGGCCCCCGGCACCCCACCAGCCCCGCTCCGGGGGGGCTGAGCCCCATGGCGGGACCCACTTCTCCCTCCAGGCACGGAGGTCCCCAAAGCGGGGGGTGACAGCCCCGGGAAGCCCCAGCTCCATCCCGATGTCCCGGCTCATCCTGGGGCAGCATCCGGCCCTGGCACCCCGATTCCCAGGATAAGGTGTCCCCCCCATGAAATCCCGACCCTGCGGCTGCGGCGATGCCAGCGTGGCCATGGGTGGGGGGCAGCGGCAGGAGGGGCTCAGTGGTGGCGGTGGGCACCCAGCGGGCACCCAGCGGTGCCGGGGGGGGGGGTGAAGGACGTGGTGCTGGGTCAAGGGAAGGGGCACCCAGCCCCTGGCCGGGGAGCGGCGCTGCACAAGGCTGCGGTGCCCACGGTGATGCTGCTCCGGTGGCAAAGGGGCACAGCCCCAAGACAGCCCCGGGTGACACCGGAATGGCCTGATCCGGGACACCGCTACCCCTTTGGGGTGGCCGATAAGGGCTCCGCTAACATGGGGGAAGCGATGCTCCTGGGTGCAGGATTTGGCCATCAACTGGGATGTCCCCGGGGAGGTGACACCCTCCATGGGGTTCCCTTGGGGCAGGATGCTCGGGGGGAGCAGTTCGGGGTGGGTGCCTTCTCCCAGCAGAGCTGGGGAGCTCAGTGCCCCCAGTTCAGCCTCATGGTGCTGGCACTAACACTGGTGCAAGCCCCTCGCCTGCCCCAACAGCACCCGAGGGAGGATGTGCCGTGGGTCCCCGGGCCACCATGGGGTGTAAGCACCTGGGGCTATGGAGGGTGCAAATCAGGGACTGAGCCCCATCCCTGCAGACCGGGGGGGGCTGCAGCCATCCCCATCCTCCCACCCAGCACCAAACCCCCGTGCTCAAGCCTCAAGCCAGGGCATCCTCATGCTGGGGACTGTGGGGACCTGTCCTCTGTCCTTGCCCCCCCGCCCTGGGCACAGGCAGGGTTCAGCAATGACAAATCTCAGCCCCAAGCCCCCTGTCAAGGACAACCGTGGCACTGGCATGAGCACAGCGTGTGTGTGAGTGCAAGAGGACTGGGTGCAAATCTCCCCCCTTCCACTGCTCTGGGCACCCCAGGGACCCCCCAGCATCATCCTGCGGGGCCCAGAACCCCACCAAAAACCCCAGCACCCAGCAGGATGAACCCCGGGGTCACTGCACCAGGGCAGCCCTCGATGCCTTTGTGCCACTCCAAACACCCAGCGCACACAGGGGAATAGAGGCAGGGGGTGCAGTGGGGAACAGGGGTGCTTTGGCTCCCCAAAAGCAGCTTGGGCTGTAGCACCAGCCTGGTGCACCCCGTGCAGCCCCAATGTAAAGCCATTGCTTCCTTGGCCTGGGAGGAGGAGGAGGAAGGCAGAGCCATCACTGTTGATGCTCAGGGGCTGAGCTGGGGCTGAGCAGGGAGCTGCTACTGCCTCCTTTAGCTCTTCCTCTCCCATTCCCTCACCACATTAATTAAACCCGAGTGCTTAATTACAACTTGCTGAATCCCTCAGCTGCTTCCCAGGGCCAAACCCATGGGGACAACTCCGACCCCCCCCCCTACATCCCCTTAGGAAACGTTGGAGATGGGGGAACGTGGGGAGCATCCCGGCACCTGCAGGATTTGGGTTGTGGCTCAGCAGCAGCATAAAGGGATCTCCATGCACCGCGTGGAAAAGAGCAAACCCAACGAGCAGCGCCGGGAATGTCATCCCTGGGGGCCTTGGTCTCTCCAAGGGGAGATGGGCACAGATGGCTCAGCCCTGGGGTTGTCCCTGCGCTGCCCCACGGGGATGGGGATGGGGATGCTCAGCCGGCTGCTGGCAATAGAAAACAATGGAGGGAAATCAGATGAAGGCCGGTGGCAGGGTGCGGGATGGGGGTCCCCCCCCGAGGGCATGGGGTGCCCATGGGGTGTCCTGAGCATCCTGCCTCCCTGCCTGCAGGTCCCTGCCAGCCCATGAAGTGACTCAGGCGGGTGGCACAGCCCCTGCTCCTGCCATAGCCGCCACACCGGGCACTGAGGTAAGGACCAGGGGCTGTGGCTGTGGAGCGGGTGGGACCCCAAACAAGGTCTGTGGGGCTGAAATCCCAATTGGAGCCTTACCCTGCCCATGGGGGGTGCCCAGCCCGGTCAATGGGGGAATTGGCCTGACCCTATGGGGGAACCGGGGCACCTTGGTGGGGGGGGGCGGTGGGGGGGGGGCACCCATTCGCAACCCGTGCCCGCTCCCCGTTCCCCCCCCGCACTGGGGACCACGGGGCCGGGTGCAGGTCCGGGGGGGGTCCGGCCGGCGGTTGCGGGTGCTGTGTCCCTGAGCTGTGTTTCTCCCGCTCAGGTCCGCTGGCCATGGGCAACCTCATAAAGGTACTGGGCAAAGACTTAGAAAACTGCCCTCATTTTTTCCTGGATTTTGAAAGTAAGTCCCGGGAGCGGGGAGGGTCCGGGGCCACCGGTGCGGGTGTTCCCCGCAGCACGGGGATCGGCACCGCTGTGTCCCGGGGCAGCCCCACAGAGCGCTGAGTGGGGCAGGGGAGCAGGACCCATCCCTGCCCCATCCCTCAACGTTCGCTGGCTGAGCCCCTGTGTCCTGGCAACGGGACCTGGCCCGTGAGGACCTCAGCCACATGCGCGCCGCTGTTAGGCGGTGGCACCGGGTGCCCGTGCGGGACAGGCGGGAGGCCGGGAATGCCGGGGAAGGATGCGTGTCCCTGTGCTGCAGGACGGGCGGTGCTGCGGTCGCAGCCTGCATCCGAGGAACCCGGGTCAGGGTCTCCAGTTCAGCCCAAGGGACCTGCCCCGGCTTCCATTGGCCCGGGTTAAATGGGACACGGCTCAGACCTTCCCGGCTGGACACAGGTGGACGGGAAACGGTGGCCGCCGTTTGGGTGGCAGAATCGGGGTCAGCCCCAGGGCCCCCCCCTTTGCTTCCTCTCCCCACCTTCCTCAGGGGGCACGGCCCAGAGCAAGAGTAAAGGGGGGTAAAAGCAGTGCAGCAGCAGCCGCTCGCCTCGGCCCCGGCTCGTCCCAGCGCCACCGGCACGTCCCAAAGCAGCCGGGCTGGGGTCACGCAGCCGCCCCGCTCCCACGGTGAGGGACACTCCTGGCTCCACCTCCAGCCCCCCTCCACGGGGATGGGGCTGGGGGGGCTCCCCACGACCCCCGTGTCGGGGCTGGCTCTGCAGCTGGAGGCGGGGACACTCCTGAAGCCAAGACTTGAGGGACCTGCTCCCCGCTTCGCCCGGCGGCTCTCGGCTCTCTCCTCCCTCTGCTCCTTCCTCTCCATCACCCCATCCGCCAGCGCTCATCACCATCGGGAGGGGAAGAGGCTGCAGCCGGGGCCGGGAGCAGCCGCGGGGTCACCCCGAGCCCCAGGGAGCCGTGGGGCAGAGGAGGGGGGGACGGACGGGGGCTCCGGCCGCTTCCCGCAGCCCAGCACCTCTTCCCCGAGCACCACCTCACCATCATGCTTTTTGCCTCTTGTTTCTTCTCTTGCAGGTTTCACATGGGGAACCTTCTAAAAGTGTTGACTTATAACGAGCTTGACCAAGGCCCTAATTTTTTCCTTGACTTTGAAAGTGAGATGGGATTTTTATTTCCCTTTTTCGTTCCGTACTTCTCCTGAGTTCCACATCCTCACCATTTTGAGTTCTTGTCCCCGTCGCCCATCGCATCGCGCCCATCCCAGACGTCCTCCCCTCACCTTTGCTACCCAGGGGTCTCCCTGGGGAGGGGGGGGCCGCGGCCGCAGACCCATGGCCGGGGGCTATCGCTCCCCACCTCTTCCCCGGGGCAGTTTGCAGCCCGTCGGGGCTGGAGGCTGCTCGAGGACCGCCCCCCCTCCCCGTGAGCAGGACCACGGTCGCAGGGCAGCCAGGACTCACCCCCCCCCCCTATTCCAACCTCTGGCTTGGCTCAGGCTTGAGCAAGGAGATGGACGAGGGGGAGAAACCCGCCAGGAAGGGCTTTGGGCCGGCGGGGGGAGCCGCGGGACCGGGGCGCTGCTCCCCACGGCGGCTCTCGCCTCTCGGGGCCCCGCTCAGAGCCCTCCGGGTTTCTCTCCCCGGGGCGCTGCCCTGCAGATGCGCAACCGACGGCGGCCGAGACTGCGGTGTGGAACGCGGTGAACGCGGTGCTGGAGGAGGCGCAGGCGGTGCTGGCCGAGCTCCAGTCCTACACGGGCGCGGGGCAGGAGATCCGGGAGGTGGGTGCAGCCCCGGCGCCCCTCGGGCCGCGCTCCCCCTCCCCGCTCCGTGCCCTGGGGTAACCTGGGGTAACCGCGGATGCTCCCCCCCTCTCCGCAGGCCATCCAGAACCCCGCGGACCCGCGGCTGCAGGAGCGCGCCTGGGGCGCCGTCTGCCCGCTCGTCGCGAAGCTGAAGCGTTTCTATGAGTTCTCGCTGCGCCTGGGTGAGTGCCCCCAGCCCCGGGCCCTTCCCCACATCCCATCCCCACAGAATCCCAGAGGGGTTTGGGTTGGAAGGGACCTAAGATCGTCCCGTTCCTCACGTTAGACAGCGATGTCCAAGGCTCGGTCCAACCTGGCCTTGAATGCTGCCGGGGATGGAGCATTCACCACTTCTCTGGGCAACCTGTGCCAGGGCCTCAGCACCCTCACAACCTGTGTCTCACCTGAACTGCCCCTGTTTCAGTCTGAACCCATCACCCCTTGTCCCATCACTACAGTCCCTGATGAAGAGCCCCTCTCCATCAACCCCTTCAGACACTGGAACACCCCCCCCATTGCATCCCACATCCCTCTGTGGATGCAGGAGCAGGGCAGGGCAGAGGGAGCCCTGGCCATGGGGTGGGTGCCGCACTGCCCCGTGCCTCAGTTTCCCCACCTGGGGCTGGGGACATGCATTGGGGGGGACCAGCAGTGCTTTGTCCGCAGAGAACGCGCTGCGGAGCCTGCTGGAGGCCCTCACCAGCCCCCCGTACGCCCCGACCCAGCACCTCGAGCGGGAGCAAGCCTTGGCCAAGCAGTTTGCAGAGATCCTGCACTTCACCCTCAGCTTCGATGAGCTCAAGGTACCTCCCCATGGGGCGGCTGCGGGCTCTGCAGCACAATGGGACCCCCATTCAAACCCTGTGAGCCCAAACAGCCCCTTGGGACCCCCGAGGCTCCCCCCAGGCTCTGCCCGCGGCCCCTGACATAGGGCTCTCCTCCTCAGATGACCAACCCTGCCATCCAGAATGACTTCAGCTACTACAGAAGGACCATCAGCCGAAACCGCATCAACAACCTGCAGGTGAGGGGGGGTCCCAGGGCAGGGGATGGCTCAGGGGGGGTTCCACCACCCCAACACCGCCCTCCTGTCCCCCGCAGCTTGATGCAGAGAGCGAGGTGAACAATGAGATGGCCAACAGGATGTCCCTTTTCTACGCCGAGGCCACCCCCATGCTCAAAACACTCAGCAACGCCACCACCAAGTTCGTTTCCGAGGTGAGGAAAGCCCCCTCCAGCCCCAGCACCACACCAGCATCAGATGGGGCTGGAGCCCCCATGGAGGGCCAGGAGGGGAAACAGCATCCGGGACCTGTTGTGTTTCAGAACAAGACGCTGCCAATCGAGGACACAACCGACTGCCTGAGCACCATGGCCTGCGTCTGCAGGGTGATGCTGGAGACCCCGTGAGTACCCCACAGGGGTTGGGGGGCACTTTTGGGTGCGGGGGTCCCTTCTCACCCCCCCACCCCGCCGGGCTCAGCCAGCCCCTCTCCTGGCACAGAGAATACCGGAGCCGCTTCACCAACACCGAGACCCTCCTCTTCTGCATGCGGGTCATGGTTGGGGTCATCATCCTCTACGACCACGTCCACCCCGTGGGGGCTTTTGCGAAGACCTCCAAGATCGATGTGAGTGGCAATGGGGTGCACCAGGGGGGGTCACTGCCATCATGGAGTCGTTAGGGTTGGAAAGGACCTTAAGATCATCCAGTTCCAACCCTCCCTGCCATGGGCATCCCAATGGAGATGTGATGGGATGGGAATGTCTGAGAGGGTCCGGAGGGGAACTTAGCGAGGAGGAGGATGGGGAGGAAGGGATGAGCCTCTCAGCACATCCAGGCTCTCACAGCCTCTCTCACTGCCCCCACCAGATGAAAGGCTGCATTAAAGTCCTGAAGGACCAACCCTCAACAAGCACCGAGGGGCTCCTGAACGCTCTGAGGTGAGGCAGGGGACCGGGGGCTCCCCCGATGGCGCAGGGCTGGGGTGTTGTGGGGTGACCGTGCCCTCTCTGCCCAGGTACACCACGCGGCACCTCAACGACGACACCACCTCCAAACAGATCCGGGCGCTGCTGCAGTGAGCGAGCCCGGCTCCCCGATGCCATGACCATAGCGCTCACCTTGTACAGAGGGACAAGGAGGGATGCACCAAAAGGCAGAGAGATAAAAGCAGCCCCGAGGCCACGCACAAAGGACTCCTCCTCCCAACTCAGCCCCCGCTGGACACGAGGTGCGGGTGGCACCATGGGGACACCGCAGTCAGGTGCTGGGGCTGGGCAGCGTCACCCCTAACCCCATCCTCATCCCGAGGAGGAGGAGCAAGCATCCCTGCAGACCTGCACTGACCGGTGGCAACGGCTTCGTCTCCCCTCGTAGACTTTTAATGAGAGCAATTAAATCTCCACTCACCTTTTCTTTTCTACATGGATTTATTTGGGGGTGAAATAAAACGACATTTACTCTGCTGGTGGCCGGAGCGGGGCCGTCTCTGCTGCGTCCCATCCCAGCCCCCTGCGCTATGCTGGGTCCCCGTGTCGCATCCATGACACCTTTGGGACCACATCCCCCTTCCACGACACTTATCCCTGCTGGGACAAACCCCATCTCCGTCCATGTCTCAACCCTACAGTGACACCACCAGGGGCTCATGGAAGGACAAGGAACAGGGGTTGGTCCGAGGGGCTTCCCCCCCAAGCCAGCCGATCCAGGGCACCCTCCATCCCCAGCGCTCCACCAGCTCCAGACTGGGAGCACTGGGAGGCTGCCGCTTGCCTTTGCCGGCAGATGGCCCTGTGACACCGCGACAAAGCAGCCCCGTGTGTGTGTGTGTGCCCCCATACACCTCCGTTGTGGAGGGACCCGCTCAACCTGAGCCCCTCACCCGCAGCACAGGGCCCAGTGCCAGCGCTTGGCGGGGCTGTGTCACCCCCATGGGGACACCCCTGGGACGCTCAGCCCCGCATCCCTGGGCTTACTGGGGTTGGTTCCCCATCACCGCATCCTGCTCTGCTTCCCGAGGTCCTTCCCACCGGGAAGCTGCCCTTTGCACCGCCGGGGCCGTGGGGCACCCGCACCCCGCAGCCCTCACGCAAGGTGCCCGTGCCTCAGTTTCCCCACCTGGGCAATGGCTGCATGGGCAGGGTCCCCCTGGACACCCCCTGCATCGCTCAGGGTGCCAACACGGGGACACCATCGCTCCCATTGCAACCGGGCTCAGCAGCACGGCAGCCCCAGGGGACAAGGAGGGGACGAGGAGGCGGGGGGGGGGACCTGGCAGCCTTCATCCCTCTGGATCCCGGCGTTTTCCAGGCCCGGTGCCAGGATCTTTGCCGCCAAAGACAGCTCCTTGGATTTCCAGGCTCTTGCTCCACTCGCTCCGTGCATCCCGCCTGGATCGCTGCCGAGGCCCTGGGTAATGGGCCATGGATCCCAAGCGCCCTGCCCCGCTCCCAGCCCCGGCAGCGGGCACAGCAGCTCCATGCACCAGCCGTGCCTCAGTTTCCCCAGCCAGGAGTTACCTTTGCCCTGGTGACCCCGAGGGATCGCTCCCACTGAGCCCATCCCCAGGGGCTCCGCAGCACCGTGATCCCATTGGGAACTGTGGAGGAGGCCGGGACGTGGCTGGGTTCAGCGGCTGGGTCTGATGAGGGTCTGTGGGAGCTGCGGCACATCCTGCACCAGCGAGGGGGTGAAGTTCCCTGTGGGATGAGCAGATGGGAGCGTTTCACAGCCAAAACATGGCAAGGAAAGGGAGCCAAAAGGTGAAGGAAACGGAAGCAATCACAAGTCCTGGAACATCACAGCCAGACGCTGGATCTGGGACTAGCAAAGGGGTTTGGGGTGCTTTTTGGATGTGGAGCTGTGGAAGGAGCTGGTGAAGGCTGAAGCAGTAGGTGATAGGGAGGCGGATGGTGGGATGCTGCCCCTGTATCCCTGGCTCTGGACACAAGGATTCAGGCTGCACCGGCAGCCCTGGTGCCAGTCCATGTGGATGATGCTCTGCCACGGGGCTCCTCCAGCCCAAGCTCTTCAGCTGCAGCGCTCAGCCAGGACAGGGCACCAAGGACTTTAACTGATGGAGAGCCAAGCCCTGCCAGGCCTGTGCTGTTTTCCTAATCCCAGTGGAATTAATGACCTTATCTTTGGCCAAAGCCATTTAGATTAAGTGGCTGGTGTGATGGGCTCGGCTGCACAGATGGAAGAGCTGCGTTTGTCTGGGGATTAGCGAGGGCAGATGGAGGGAAGTGCCATTGCCCATCCCTAAAGCTCCCGGCACCGCCAGCAGCCTGAAACCAGAGACCACAACAACTTTCTCAGTGACTCCTGCCTGGGTCTGCAGTGATTTGATCGGAGGCCACCAACTCCCCTGCTTCTTGCTGCTGGCAGCATCTGGGCACAACCACCTTCCATGTCCTGGACCGCACAGCATGAACAGGCAAGAATGAGGGTCTCATCCTGCTGGGACACCCAGGAGCTGCTGCTCTCAGACCAGGGCATTGCAACGGTGGCAGGGACCTGGAACACTCTGTCCATGCTGGCTGCAGCACAGCCTCTGTGAGTGGTCCTGGACCACAACAGGCAGACTAGCAGCTATTGTGCTAGAGGAATCACATTTATCAGTGGGGATAACAAAGTTCATATTAGATTAAGGACACTAAATCTGTTTCTAACAGTGTAGTCATCTGCCTGCACCCAGGAGACAGCAGATAATCCCACCCCTCATTCACAGAGCTGCCCAAGGATCCCAGCTTGGCCTGGGGACATGACTGAACCCATCCACACCCAGCACACAGGCAGGGAATGGGGCTTTACACCCGGCCTCACCTCGTCCATCTGAGCCAGCAGAACCCCTTGGCCCTGTGCTCCAGCGCTGGGCTGAGCCCATATCCACGTACACTGAGTCATTGTGGATGGCAAACAAGTCTGGGCTGGAGAAGAGGTTCAGCTGCTGCTGCACAGACCCAGCAACACAAACGTGGTGCCTGGCATCTCGGAAGGCTGACGCCCAGCTCTGCCCCAGTGCTGGCAGAGAAAAGCCAACGTGAATTCCCAGCTCTTCCCTGCATCCTCCCCACGTCCCTCTCAAACAGCCCAAAGCTGCTGCCCCAAGCAGTTACAGAAATCACCCCAGTGTTGAAGAGCACAGACTGGAAGGTTAACATGATCCCACTGGAGCAGCACCTCCAGAGCCTGCACCCATGCAGCCCTGTGAGATGGCTCTTGCCTCATGGTGCATCACAAGCAGCTGAAGGAAAACTGTGTGTTCTACCACTCAAAACCCTGCCAGGAGGAACCAACCGTCTTGACTGCATTTGCCAGGAGAGTCCCAAACGCCCATCAAGGCCCTCCCAGTTCCACCTGATGGGAACGGTGCTGTGGAGACCAACTGCCTGCAGAATGCAGCACAAAGAATCCGCTGCTCAGCAACTCGCATTCAAAGGCAGGGCTGGTTCCCATTGCCAAACCACAGCGTAAACCCCCGGGAATTCAGCTCTAACTGGGACAGACTCATCTGCTGCAAACGGGATGAGATCACTTCCAAGTTCCTGTTTAACAGGTGCCAGCTCCTTCTGCACCTGCTCCGTGCATTGGGATCAGATGGCCTCCACAAGCCGGGAACATCTGCTCAGCTCCCTTGGAAGCTGAAGGAAAGGTGGCTGGAAGAAGGGACCAGGCCTGACCATCCCACCCCATGCCCTGAGCAGGGAACCTGGGCCAGGTGGAAACAGAGCATGAGAAAAGTGTGCTTGGCAATGGGGAAAGGAGCCTACGATCATCCTGTGCAACTTTATTTCCATATATAAGAAGAAAATATTCCTCTCCACAATAAAGGCAGCAAGAGCTCGCTCAGCTCTGGAGCTGCGCCCCTGGCCAAGCTGGAGGAGGGCAGGGTATTCCTGTCTCCAAGCAGGACACATTCACATGGCAGCTCTACCATACCAAGGATAATGCTGTGTCTCTGGCAGGAATGAACACTTGGCACAGGAGGATGCTCCAGCAGCCTTGCCCCAGGGCCCAGCCCTTTCCAGGCAGGGTTGAGGAAACATGGGAACACAGCACCGTGATGCCACATGAAGAGGATCCGATGAGGCCTTTGGCCATCACCTGCCTCAGCCCCAGAAAACCGACTCGGCTTGCCCAGTCCAAGGCCACTCAGGACCAAGTCACCTCCTCCCCTTCAGAGGCAGGATGGGGCCCTACGGTGAAGGCTGGCTGCTGTCCTCATCCGAGGTCGCTGCACCCGCACTGTCCCCCTCAGCCTCCGCAGCGCAGCCGGCGGCCTCCAGCTTCCTTCTCCTCTTCAGATGGTGCAGGTGGGATTTGGAGCGTGTGTGAGCTGGAGGGAGAGGCAAACAGAGCCTTTAATTCTGCGGAACAGCCAACCCCATCTGCGTGTGCAGTGTGGGGAACCGTCCCTTCCCATCCTCCCACACAGCTCATTCCTGCAGGGAAGTGACTTCCCAAGCCCTGCCCTGGCCATTATCCCAAGGAATCGGGACTCGAACGGGGACAACCCTCCCAAGCCTCCTCCTGACCACAGGGAGGATGGGAGAGGGACAAATCCTGGTTTTGTACACACAGAAGGCTCCAGATTGTCAGGACTCGCTCAACTCCCCCAGCAAATCTGCTCCCAACCAAGACAACACCGGGAGGCTGGGAGAAAGGGAAGGGTTATCAAAGAGGCAGCACACTGAAGGATGCAGCAAGGTTGTGCAACTCTCCACCACCCCATGGAGCCCTGCCAGGATCATTTATAGGCCTAGATGCCTGCACCACAGCACTGGGATCTCCTGTAACTCTGCAGAGCAGCTCAGGATGGAGCCTGGAGCATAATTAGGCTTTTGCATAACTCCAGGGCAAGGCCCCCAGCCATGAGAGCACTTAGCAGGAGGCAGGGGGAACAGAGGTGTAATCCCTGGGATGCAGCTTGTCCTGACAGAGCACGGCAGCAGGAGCTGCACTTGGTTGGAATCAGAGTTAAGGGCAGTAAAACTTCCTGTATCAGTGGTGTTATCTAAGCAGAAGGTGCTTTGTCTAACCAGAGCCATGAACCATTTTAGCAGGGTGGTTTTGCTATTTCCAAGAGATCAGAGCAGCAATTAAAGCAGCAAGCTTTCCAAGCAGGGCCTTCATGGAACGAGGGGATGTGCTCACTGAATCCTGGCCCTGAGGGGTTTTCCAGGCATCCTTTCCTGCCAACTGATGAAGTTACATGCAAAGCTGCTGCTTTATCACAATTGCTGTAGGCTCACCTCAGCCTGAAATCAAGTCTCACCTCTTACAACTTGTCACAAGCAACACCAAAGCTCCCAGTGGCAGGAGGAGGCGCTGCCTGGGAGCAGCAATCCACACAAATAGAACTTTTCCATCCCTCAGACCCAGTGGGGTACTGGGAAACAGCTCCCAGGACTACGTGTAACTTGCCTACAGAAACCAGAGCAGATTGCACATCAGCTCAGCCCCCACTGCTGCTTTCACTTCCATTTTGCACTCACAAGTAACACCCAGTTTGGGACCGTTTTTCTCCCACCATCCCGGGGTGTGAGCCAAATTCAGCTGGATGCAGGGAACCACAGCTGGTCTTGGCTGAGGAAGGCACTGTCATCATCTAGCAGAATTTGGGATGATGCTCCTGGAGGACGTGCAGTCACAGATGCAGTGTTCTGGGGGGGTTGTGGAGTTCCCACCCAGCCACAAAACCTGCTGGACCCTGATAGCTTTCAGACTCCTCTAGTTCTGGGGGAGGCAGAGCTCCTTCAAAGCACCTCTGAGCTGAGACTGGCTAAAATAACAATGGCACTTCCAAACTGATCTCATTACAATGAGCTTCCTATTCCGAGCCTCCTTCCATCTTTGCTTTCAGCAGTTCCCTGCATCAATAGGAGTAAGTGACTCGTTCAAATCCAATGACCAACGACCTGCAGAACTTATCTCTGCATTGTGCCTGCACACACTGTGTTTGGGCAACACATGGAGATTTACCAGTTCTGTTCCTTGCAGCCAGTTTCTCTGCTACTTTTTGTTCCTGGTTCTCAGCATGAGCCTCCCAGCACAGATAAATTCACAGAGTTAATCTGATTCCAGCTGAGCTCTTTTAAAGGCAGTCTATTGAAAACAGAAAATCCTTTTCTATTACCATTGCAGCTAGCAATACTCTTTTTTTAAAAGACTAAGCACACAAATAGGAGATACTGGAGCAAACCTGAGCTATTAAAAACCATTTCAAAAGTTTCATTTTACACAACATTTTAGAAGAAACAAACCTGTTCTCTGCTTCATGACAAACCACCTGAAGTGCTGAAAAAGGCCAGCAGCCCTCACTAAACAAACAGCTCTAAGGCTTGATGGTACCTATAGATCCCCACACTGGGGCAGTGACTGGGTGCAGGGAAGGGGGGAAGCCTGACAGATGGCTGCTGTGGCACAGCTCCTGCATCCCCCTAGGCTTGCAAATGGCTCCTTTCATCCTGGGCTGTAAACAAGCCTTGAAGGCTGAGATGATGTGCTGAGATGATGTGCTGAGATGATGTGCTGAGATGATGTGCTGAGATGATGTGATGAGATGATGTGATGAGATGATGTGATGAGGGTCATCCAGCCACACAGCCAGGCAAGGAAAGCTGCTCTGCTTCAGAGAACTGCCTCACTGCACCTCTCTGTGTGACTGTACTCTCTGGGCCCCCTCCCAGGTCCTGTTCCCCCCCCCCCACCATGTCCTACCTGCCCACTCTCTGTCCCCAATGATGAGCCTGTCACAGAGCTCACACACGCGGTGACTCCGCTTGTTCTCATTGACATCGTGCTCCATCTTCACGGGCTCTGCCGGGGGCTCCCGGCCCTGTAGGTGAAATACAGTCTCCATTTGGGGTCTGCTGTGAAATCTGCCTGGCTGTGTTCACTTTGGGATGTGAACCTGCCATACGCAGACACTAAGGTTAGCAGGACAGATGCTGCAGTTGTACCATGCAAGACAATTGCAGTACTGGCCATTAGGAGAAGTTTTCAGCTTAGACAACAGTCCTCTGCCACTGTGAGGGAAGCCCAAGGCTGGGCACATAGCAGACAGCAGAGAGACTAAGTGCCAAGTTAATGGGCCTGGAGACTACCAAAAAGTTGGCTTCTTGGTCATGTTTCACGTGTTAACTCCAGTTACCCAGTACCTGGATAAAGCTCTCCACAATCTCCAGAGCAGGTTTCAGCACATTCTCTTCCCACTGCAAGAGATCAGACACCTCCAAGGCATACACTGGGGGCACATTGGGCCCAGGACCTACAGAGACACAGAAAGGCAAGTCAGCACACCAGAACACCCCCAGCATCGTGTCACAGTGCCCATGGGGCTACACCATGAGCAGAGTGTCCTGCTTTTTCCTATCTAGTTGTTCTTTAGCAAGAAGCAAACAGCACCAGACTTTCCAGAGCCCAAATTACCAAAGACCTCAGCCGGGGGGGGGTACCACCCTTGCAAAGAGCATGAGCACCTAAGAACACAGGCAAGCATCTCCATGGTTGTCTGTTTGGGACAGCATTGTGAAATCTGAGCACGCCAACAGCCCAGCCCAGCAACAAACACTTCATCACTGCCATGGTATATGGGAGGCCACAGGAGATCAAAAAGCTAGATCTGGACACAAAGCCATCACACAAAGTTTACAGGGAGATGCAGGCACAGAGTCTGCATGAGGAATCTGTGGGTGCAGTTCCTCACTCGGAGCTCTAATGGCTTGTGTGGCTGCACTGGCCACACATTGCTCCCAGCAGCAGACCACAGTGGGAGATGCTTTGATAATGCCTCAGACAAGGCCCAAGTTTCAAAGCCACCCCTTTGGCCTCCCCCAGCCTGCTGTGAGGGCACGGGGCACAGACAGCAGCAATCAGAGCCCCTGCTCAGACAAAGCCATCGCAGGCTGCTGCGTGCCAGGCTCCAGCAGCTGCTGCTCCTTAGTGCTGTAACCACAACCAACCTCCTCACAAAGCTGGTCTGCAGCACACCTGCCACCAGAAAGGTGAGCCACAGCCACCGAGCACATGGCTGCGGGACAGCTCTTGCACCTTGCTCAAAGTCCATCTTTTGAGCCCAGTTTCTCCCTGTCTGGGCTTTTTCTCTTTATTTTATTGTTGTTTTGCCCCTACCGAGCACCTTTCAACAAGTGCCCGGCTCCCAGCTGCTGCTGCTGGCCCTGCTCCAAGGCTGGGGCTGGGATGGGGAAGTCCTGCTGGCTCCTGGCCACTGCAGCCAGCACAGCCCATGCTCAGAGCAGCCAACAGGCTCATGCTCCTAATGTGAAAGGCAGCATCAACTGGGCACCATGTGCGACACCACGAGGAGAGGGACCATGCTGGGCACCCCCTGCCTGAGCCCTGAAGCAGTGGAGCCTCTCCTGTGCTCTCCTGAGCTAGGAGCAGGGGATGGGCTGAGGAAAGACGAGAGATGAAGAACAGGGATGGTGAGGGAGGGTAGGAACAGAGGACTCACGTTTCAGGAAGCGGTTTCGGACCCATTTGTTCTGCCTCCGGGCGTATCTCTTGGTCACCTGCTTCAGGGCCTGGATCCCTTTGAAACAGAGGGATTAAAACAAAGGTGAGTGTAAGGCTGCAAGCTGAGCTCAGAGCCCAAAACCTCTGCCCTAAAGCTTTTAGCAGGTAGAACAATCTGTTCAAGGGCCACCCTGCTCTCACAATACCCAAGTATCAATCCGTACAAATGGAGCTCAGGACTCCTCATCCTCCCCACAGGTGTCCCACAGCATGGCTGACCACTGTACAACCTGTCAATACTTAGTACCAAACTTATCTTTCCCTCTGTAATGGTCTCCTGAGCAGACATAACAAGCCCCTTCTGTTTTCAAGCCTGTTATCATTGCTGTGGTTTCCTCAGACTCCCATCTTCACTTTGCACTGAACCGTCCCTAACACAGATCAACTCTGCCTGCGACCTCTGCTGTGCTGAGGAACAGAGCAGTTGTCATAGAATCATAGAATGGTTTGGGTTGGAAAGGACCTTAAGATCATCCAGTTCCAACCCCCTGCCATGGGCAGGGACACCTCACACTAAACCAGGGCACCCAAGGCTCTGTCCAACCTGGCCTCGAACACTGCCAGGGATGGAGCATTCACAGCTTCCCTGGGCAACCCATTCCAGTGCCTCACCACCCTCACAGGAAAGAATTTCCTCCTTATATCCAATCTCAACTTCCCCTGTTTCAGTTTTAACCCATTACCCCTTGCCCTATCACTACAGTCCCTAATGAAGAGTCCATCCCCAGCATCTCTATAGCCCCTTTCAGACACTGGAAGCTGCTCTGAGGTCTCCATGCAGCTTCTCTTCTCCAGGCTGAACAGCCCCAACTTCCTCAGCCTGTCTCCATACAGGAGCTGCTCCAGCCCCTGAGCATCCCTGCGGCCTCCTCTGGACTTGTTCCAACAGCTCCATGTCCTTTTTATGCTGAGGACACCAGAACTGAACAGAAAACTCCAAGTGAGGCCTCACAAGAGCAGAGGGGCAGGATCACCCCCTTTGACCTGTCCTCTAACAACAGTCCTGAACTCCAGAATGGAACATGCCATTGAAGACTGCACCACTATTGACTCATGCTGTTATCTGCTAGACCCCCAGGTTCCTTCCCACCATAATGCTGCTGAACCAGATGCTGAGTTCTGCTTCATTCCCTCTTTCCAGCTCAGTTCCCCACAGCATTCACACCTCAGCTGAGATCTCATCACCCAGGTCACTGGAGGACCAGCTCCAGATCCCAAGACACGCTGTGCCCAGTACAACTTACAGGGAGGCCAGGGGGAAGGGAGGGAGGAATTGCCCTGGCTGTGCTCAGCTGTGCTCCAAGCACTGAAAAAGGAGTCCCTGACCCCTGAGCTGGCAAAGATGGAAAATGCAGAGAGAAAGGTGCAGCTCAACCCCAGCAAGACCTGCGCTAAGGTCTGAGCTTGGTTCAGCCCATCAGGCAGTGTCCCCTGGAGCTGCATGGGGCTGAGGGATGTAGGGCATACAGGGTGCTCCTCCCACCTTTTTGCAGCAGCAGGGCACTGGTCTCTGGTGAGCAGCTCCCTTCACTAATGAGGTACTCATGGAACTCCTTGAAGCCAATGGACTGGAAGATGCCGTGCTGGTAATCCTGCCTGGAGACAAAGACAAGAGGCAGCGGTCAAAGCCATCTCCTGCAGAACAGTGGGAGACCTCACCTCTCCCCTGAATCATAGAATCATAGAATAGTTTGGGTTGGAAAGGACCTTAAGATCATCCAGTTCCAACCCCCCTGCCATGGGCAGGGACACCTCGCTCTAAACCATATTACCCAAGGCCTCGTCCAACCTGGCCTTGAACACTGTCAGGGATGGAGCATTCACAACCTCCCTGGGCAACCCATTCCAGTGCCTCACAACCCTAACAGGAAAGAATTTCCTCCTTATATCCAATCTAAACTTCCCCTATTTCAGTTTTAACCCATTACCCCTTGTCCTATCACTACAGTCCCTAATGAAGAGTCCATCCCCAGCATCCCTATAGGCCCCTTCAGACACTGGAAGCCGCTATGAGGTCTCCACGCAGCTTCTCTTCTCCAGGCTGAACAGCCCCAACTTTCTCAGCCTGTCTTCATACAGGAGGTGCTCCAGCCCCTGAGCATCCTCGTGGCCTCCTCTGGACTTGTTCCAACAGCTCCATGTCCTTTTTATGTTGAGGACACCACAACTGCACACAATACTCCAAGTGAGGTCTCACAAGAGCAGAATAAAGGGGCAGGATCACCTCCTTTGACCTGCTGGTCTCTGCATCCCACCCTGCAGGAACATCCCCAGATGACACAAGCCTATGGGCTCAGGGGACAAGCCAAACCAGGTACAAAGACAAATCAGTGCCTTCAGGGCCAGCCCATGTCAGCTTCCCTGTGTGAATGCTTAGGCAGCACCAAGTCATTTTTACTGAGGGAAAATGGCAGGTATGGTCCAGACAAAATTAATTCTCAACACTAAGACCCACAGGGACTGCTGTTTGACCAAATCTGCTCTAAGAGCTCTGGCAGGAAGGGAAGGAGGCCAAGAAGTGCTGGAGGATCCCGCTGGTCCACACCTCTCCATGATGGTGCCCCTGCAGAGGCAGGAACCAGAGCAGACACTGCCAGGAGAGGGCTGGGAGCAGCAATGCACCAGAGGTGCTGCAGACAGGGTTGTTTTGGGGCCTGCATGGCTCTGGCAGGGGGGGAATGGGAGCAGGAAGGGAGCTGGCTCCTCACCCACCGGTTCTCAGCCACCTTCTGTTGGTTGTAGCGGCGGTGGAAGTCGCGCAGCTCCTCCAGCAGCCCCGCAGCCAGCATGTCATCCACCCGCTTCTCCAGCCGCCGGTCCAGAGCTGGGAGGAGGAGAGCAGGGCATGCCCTCAGGAGGCCCACAGCCAGACCATGTGCCAGAACATGCCCCAGCACTCCCCATCCCACTGAGGAAGGCAGAACCCAGCAGGAGAGGGCAACAAGTCCTTTGTCACGCTCACTGATGCCAAAGGAATTGCTGCCTTGTTCAGGGAGGAGGCTGGGGCAGGAGCAGGGCGTCAGCCCTCATCTGCATCACTTTACTCAGCCAGGAGCTCACTCTCACCTGCCTGGTCTGCATGGAGCCACAAGATGCAGGAATGTGGGTATTTCAGGGGCCCACCTAAGGGCCCCCCACCTTCCTCCTCCTGCTGCTGCTGCAAGATTTCACTATGGGGGATCCCCGTCTCTTCAAACACTTGGAGGCTCCTGCAAGCAGAGACAGACAGAGCTCAGAGGCTGGGTGAGGATGAGCTTTTCCATTTCCCCAGCAGCCCTGGGGGCTCCAGCAAAGGGAACCGCAGACACTCACTGAGATCCATCCTTCTCATGTGGGGGGAGGGCAGGTTTCTGCCCCCTCCCGTGCCCAGCATCCTGAGCACACCCAGGTCCTGGGGGTACAATGCAGTGCAGAGCACAGTGATGGCACCCAAGGAGCCTAGAGCACAGCCACCCACTCCTCCCTGGCAGCAGGACAAATCCTGCAGGGGACAGGGTTCTGGCTCCAGCCCTGCCCTTTCCAGCCAGGTAGGGCTGCAGGGAAGGGGCCAGCACTGCTGATGCTCAGCCCAGCCCAGGCAGGGAGGTGGAGGAAGCTGTTGGGGGTGCCCAACCCCCTGTCCCCCCTGCACCGTGCGAATGGGGTGGGTGGTTTCTGCTCCCCCCAGGCCAGGGCTCAGCTGGGATGGGCCCGCCAAAGCAGCAAGCCTGGTCTTGCTGCCGTGCTGTTCCCACAGAGCTCAGCTATGTTACTCAGCCAGCACAGCAGCTTGCTCTTTAAATAGCTTCAGATAAACCCTGCTGCTGGGGCACCGCAGCGGGAGCAGCCCCAGTGCACATGAGCACCATCCTTCATCCCAAAGGCTGGGGTGCTGCATGGCCAAAGGTCTCAGATCTCAGAGAGCTCCCCAACACCAGTGCTCCAAGGTGCCCAAGCATCTTGCTAAGAGCCTGGGAGCACCCACCTGGGATGGGAGAGCCTGTCTCGCTGTGTTCCCTGGCACACTATTCCCTTGGGAAGGGATGCAGGGCACCCCAAGCTCACCTGGCTACTTTGCGCTTGTCGTTGGGGTGCAGCTTGGCTGCCATCTCGGGGTCCACCCTGCTCAGGCGTCGATAGAGCTCACCACCATCCAGCTGCTCCAGCTCCACCTTCCTGTCCCTGACCAGCTCCGGGGCTGTGCTGGCCCTCTCCTGCAGGGCACAAGGCTCCCCTCAATGGAGACACTCATCCACATGCAAGGCCAGCACAAGCAAGAACATCCCCCAGACCCACAGGGTGAATGAGGGGCTTTTGGTTCTCCTTGCCCCATTCTAGCCGGGGGAACACCATGCCCAGTTGCAGAAGGCTGCTCTGAACATGCACTCACCCTTTCCCAGTGGGATATGCAGCCCCTCAGATGTACCTTGGTGTTGATGAGGACCTTCCACAGCAAGGACTCGATGTAGTAGTTGGTTCCTCCCACAACAATCGGGATCTTGTCTCGGGCAAAGATATCTTCAATGTGCTACAGTCAAGGAGCATAAGCACAGATGCACAGCAGGGAGGAAGGGCTCTGGGAGCAGCAGCCTGCCGGCCCAAACCTCATTTGCCCAGCTCCATGGAGCTGGTTAAGGCTGTAGGACACGGTTACAGGCATCCCTCATCGGTCACTATCCTCTGCTGCCTGTGTCAGCTACCACCAAAACTCAGGGACACCCAGGGACTGTCAGGGAAGGCAATATCTGGCTCAGATCCTCCCCAGCCAGCCCTGAGGATGGGCTGCCCTGAGCATTAGCTGGGTAAAAGCAGCTCCAAGTCCCCCTCACCAGCAGTATCCCCCGAAACCCAGTTATTTGCAATGTGGAGAGCCCAAATCTGAGGCAAACCCTGATCCCTCTTGCAGGCCTGGCTGTGGAGGGGAGCAGTCCATATGGGATGAGCCAGGCAGGCTGCAGAGTGAAGGGATATGAGAGGCACAGCTTTGTCTCTGAAATCTACCACTGTGTAGTTGGAGACGAGGGGATCCACAAAGCTGATCATGTGGTGCCTGCACAGACGCTGCTCCTGCGGGGAAACCTTGTTTGTGATGATGTCCAAGCCCTTGTACACCTGGGGAAGAGAAGAACCCATCATTCACCTCTATGTCCCATGAGACACCCCCTTGACCACTGCTCCTTTACCCCACAGCTTGTGACTGCTCTCCTGGCCTGGTGGAACCCTGCAGTTAGGGATTGATCAAGGTCAGGGTAACCAGCCAAGCCGGGCTCTGAAGCACAGAGCTCCACAACGATGAGGATGGCTGCCTCCAAGGTGCCATCTCCTCATCTCCTGCTCTTGGAGCTAAAAGCTCAGGTCTGCCTCTCTCCAAACACCCCCTCCAGCACAGCACTGAGCCTCGTTTGAGGACAAGGATCCCATAATGCACAAGCATCTCTCTGGATGCGACTCCATGGAGCCTCCTGAACATGCAAATGGTCTCAGCTCATGCCTGAGAGACACCCGTGAGTGCAACCGGGAGCATCTCACTGCTTCGAGCTGCATCTTCAGTCCCAGGTTTGGGATATAGAACCTGGGAGAGCACTGCTGGCAGCTAAAAGCAGAGCAGAAAGAAAAGCCACCCAAACCAACCCCTTGGGAGCATTCTTGGTGAAGAGCCAAAGCAACCTGCGATCCCAGCAGCACGCACCTGAGCCACAGCCCAAATCCACCCTCCAGGCTGCACAAAGCACCAGCCAAAGCCTAGCCCACAGACCCTGCAAGTACCAGAGCTCCCTCAGCCTGGCATCCCATCCCTGCAGCTCGGCTGGGTGCTGGGGGAGATGTTTCACCCAGAAGGGAGGAAGGCTCCTCACCCTGCTCCCCATGGCATGCAAACACAACCCCTTCAGCACAGGGTGCCCCTGTGCCCAGCACTGCTGGTCAATGGGTGCTGCAGACAAGCAGGTATCAGAGTGGGGACTGTGATGGCAGCAGGCACACGGTCACAGTGGGCACTTTCTGTCCAGCCTGGCTCTGCACTGTGTGACACAGTGGCTCAGGCTCTGCTTTGTGCCACTGCTCCTGCTTGGAACAGCCTCCCAGCTTGGAATAAACCAGGCTGATGGGAGGAAGGGCTGGAAACGGCTGTGCCCTTCCTCCTCCACTCCCCAGAAACCACCCCAGCCACAGGGCCAGACTTCCAGTAACACATTTCCCCTTAATCCCCTCTGAGGAGCTGCCAAGGCAGCGCAGCCTCCACCCACTGCCTGCCCTCATCACACACCAGGCCAAGGTGACACGGAGGTGACCTGCGGGCAGCGAGGCACGATCCGAGGTCAGTGGAGCAGGGAAGCCCGGAGCTGCCGGGGCGGCTGAACCGCCTGAGGCCCCGCATCCAGCTCCCATCCTGCCAAGCTCTTGGAGCTTGCTGCTCAGAGGGCAAGGGCCAGCTCCTGCTCCAGTCCCTCGGTAGGGAAAGGCTGCCTGGGGGCAGGAAGGAGAGGGGAGCGGGAGGGCAACCAAATGCTCTTCCTTTTTGCCCTGTAGACACCCAGCTGGCTCCAGGGGATGGGGAGCAGACGGGAGGAGAGGCCCAAGAGGCAGCTCTGTGCCAACATGCCCCGTGGCTGGCTGCAGCCTATTGATCCCCCTCCATCACCCACCCCCGTGCTGAGCAGCGCTATTCAAGGCAGGTCTCCAGTCGGCACCGAAAGCCTTTGAATGCAGGGAGCGTTGGCTCAGTGCCTCCTCTCCCCAGGCAAGGGCCAGCCCAGCCCTGCAGCTCCTCCGACTCCCACTCGTCTGCCTGAGATCACAGTTAATACCGAGGGCTGATGGTGAGGGGGGGGCTCGGAGGCAGCCGGGAAGCTCCCAGTGCCCTGCACAGGCACAAACAGGATTTACCCATTCAGGCTCCGATCCCCCAAGGTTCTCCTGGAGATTAAACACCGAGAGCGTCCCCGAATATCGAGCAACAAGAGGAGGAATGCGGTGTCAGTGTGTGGGCTGCGAGGAAACAAAGGCGGCCTTTTACATACAGGCAGCAAGGTTTCCACCAGCTGGCTGTCGCACCCAGCCGTCCTCCTGACACTCATGGCTATTTGCAGCAAGCGGCTCAGATAAGCCTTTGTTGCTTTCTAAGGCTCCCAAAACAGATTAGCAGCAAGCAGCCTGGACACACCGAGCACAAGCTGTGGACTGAAGATGCTCGGCCTTGGCAGCATCCTCCCACCCTGCACTGAAGGCCCTGCATGGGTCAGCTCCCAGCTCTTTGCTGGGAGGACAGGGCCATCTCCCCTTCTAAGTGATGCTCAGGAAACGGTGCCCTGAGGATCCTCAGCCTGGGAAGGGCTCTCCCAAACCCTCACTCTGGCATCAGTTTCCTGCACAGCCCAGCCCCAAACTCCATCCCTTTGTCACCATGTGCACCAGAGGGGTAAAGGCACACAGTACACCAAGCTGTGCAGCACAGGGATCCCAGACACAGCCAAGCCACCTGCAGCTGGGAGAGTGTGAATATTCCACAGCAACCAAGGGATCTCCCAGCTGGAGAGGGGCACGGAGGGCCCACACCAAGCTAGGATGCAAGGAGAGCAAAGCTCACTCCCCACTCTGATCCCTGCCATCAGAAGGATGGCAACAAAGGCTCTTAAGATGTCCTGACTTGGACACAGTAAATGGCAAATGTACCCAGTGTGCTACAACAGCCTCCGGACAAGGATGGCATCCAGAAGGGACAGTGAGATGGGGAGTGGATGGGGCCCTCCAGCAAGCTGGGATCAGGAAGAACAAACAGAACTGGCTTCACCCCATTTGGGTTTCCCAGGAACAATTTATTCCTAAAGGAAACTCCCTGGGATGACGAACAGCAACAGAAAGGACAAAAAAACCCCAAGATTAAGAGGCCATCGGATTAAGCAGAGCTCCTGAGCTGCACACAGGCAGCAGCTAAATCTGTACCATGACCACAGCGACCCACAGCCATGATGAAACTCCCTGCAGAGAGAGGGGTGCCTGTGTGGGAACAGGTGGGTTTGGGGCTCCCGGCCCCTTCCTGAGCCTGGCTCCAGCTCCAGCAGCTGCCCAGGACACTGCCAGCATTCGACAGAGCCCACTGGGGCCGCAGTGATGAATGGACACGGGGGCACAGGCAGCTGCCAGTTGGGAATGAGCAACGGGAGCTTTAAAACCCATGGCAAGGACAGCGGGGCCAGTGCTGCGTGGCAAAGGGATCTGCAGCGGGGAGGCAATATCCCATGGGAACAAAGCCAGCGAGCAAGCAAAGAGCTGGCTGCGGCCACCCGAGCAGGGCACAGGGGTTAGTGGGACACGGGCTGCTGGAGGCTGCGCCTTCAGGCGGCCCGAGGCCACGCTCAGAGCACGCTGTGCTGCGGGATAAAGGCAACAGAGCTGCTCCTGTTCCACAGTCACGCTAGAATGGGATTAAAAGGAAAGGAGGACAAGAGCCACTCAAGCCCACATGCCATTGGGTGCCTGCAGCCAGCGTCCCCCCAGCCCCTTGCATTCCCATAGTGGGACCTGGAATAACCAGAGCACAAAATGCATGCCTCAAACCATCCACCAGCATGAAACAAGAATTTGCAGCGCACCAGTGGGCTTCAGCCACGTCTGCAGAGCTCGGGAGCAGCAGGAGCCTCCTGTTTGCAGCACTGCTCCAGTCAACAGCCACGATTCCCCAGTGCTGCGTGCTGGGCTGGCGGTCACTGCAAGGTCTGAGAGCCTCAGTGTTACCAGCACACAACCAGGCACAAATGACTGAACAAAAGCTCTGGGGTTGCCTGCATCAGGAGGGTCAGCACCAGTAAAATCCCAGCAGCCAAGATGTGATCAGAGACACTCCTGGTGCAGACACTAGAACAGAATAACTTGCCTTGCAAACGTAACAGCAGGCACCTAGAAGCCACCCCAGCCCCGAAGAGGACTGCAGAGCAAACCAGCTCCCAGGCAGTCGCACCCTGTGCTCGAGGAGAGCAGGATGGACACGGAGGTCCTGCATTACAGAGCACATGGTGAGGGCTCCAAGCACTGGCATGGCTGGGCCAGGCAGCTCCAGACAAAGCTTCTGCATCTACGTGAATGCTTTGCCCCTGTAGGACTCAATTCAGCTCTTTGCTCAAGAGCTTAAGGAAAACATCCCATAAAGTTAAAGCTTCCAATTGCTCCAGATTCAGGAGAGGGAAGTTTCAAGGGTTAGGGTTAGGGTTAGGACACAAACAGTGCCCAGCATCAGCAGCCAGGCACAGGAAAGCAGGAGGTGGCTGCAGGAGAGCGCGAGTCCATCCCTGGGCAGCAGGAAGGGTGCTGTTGGCAGCAAACACCTTTAAACCAGCACAATAAATGGGCTGAGCACTGAAGGCTGTGGGAGCTCAGGTGCTACAGAACCAGAGCAGCCAAAGCAGTGATTACAAAGGAAACATCTTGCTAACCAGTAACAAGCCCCCTGTGGTGAAAATCGCATCTGATGATGAAGCTCCTGTGACTGGGTGCAATCAGGACCAAAACAGAGGCTCAGCTCCTCCTAAACCCAGCATAGAATCATAGGAAAGGACCTTGTATCATCTACATCTGCTATCTTCCACCTGCTAGGAATGGAGCATGGAAGGAAACGAAACCACAGGCTCTCAAGCAGCAAATCCAGCTGTTAACATCCTTCCTTTCCCGTATCTCTTGGGTGTCCCTTTGCTGCTGAGCAAAGAGGGGAGCGCTCTCCTTCAGCTGCCACATCGCACCTCGCTGATGCTCCATTCACCAGCAGCCCCTGGAAGGGCAGACAGCAGTGCCAGGACACGAGGCTCAGCACAGGGCCCAGTGGGGCTGTGGGTCTCAGTCAGGACTCCCCCCATGTCCTGTGCAGCTGCCACAGCGCAGGCTCCTTGTCAGCACCCGCAGGACCGATCCTGAGCACCACTTACAACCGATGAACTCCATCCGCTGCCTTCTCTCACCCAACTGCTCCTCAAACCCCCGCATGCCTTCTGCGGGTCTAAACCGAAGCCCCTCACTCGGGTTTCCTCCCAGAGGGAGCCTTCACCGGGGAGGGGGTGCGGAACAAGCCCGGCTCTGCAGCGCTGCCTGTGCCACCCTGTTCCGCGCTGACAGGCGAGCAGGGCACGGCAGGAGGGGGCTGCTCCCCACAGACACCGCTCAGAGGGCCCAGGGGAGCCCGGCCCGAACCCCGCGGGGCTCTGCGGGCCCCGAGCAGGGCCTGCTCCCCGCCGCCGCCTCCCTCAGGCCCAGCCCCGGCCCTCCCCTGCTCGCAGGCCCGGCTGCGGCCTCCCCTGCGCCCGGGGCCCGCTTGCGGCCTCCCGCGGTCCCCAGGCCCCGCTGCGCTGTGTCCCGGCACGGAGGCCGCGGCCCGGCCGTACCTGCATGGAGTCGGCGCTGACGATCTCCCCGCCGAGGCGCAGCCCCAGCTGCAGCGCCAGCGCCGACTTCCCGGTGCCGGTAGCGCCGAGGATCACCACGAGCGGCCGCGGCGGCGGGGCCCGGCCGAGGCACAGCGCGGCCGCCGCCATGGCCCAGGGCGGGCGGGACGGGGGCGGGCCGGGGCCGGGGCCAGCGGAGGGGAGGCCGCGGCCGGGCCCTGTGCTCCGTGGCCCTCATCGCGGTGGGGCTCCGGTCACCGGCCCCATCCCCACCCCTGCCCCGGACCCTCCCCGGGACCCCGCTGCCCCCCCGGCCCCTTAATCCCGGCCATGCCCGCGAGTGGGGTCCTGCCCCCTGGTACCCGTTTAATTTGGGGTGGGGTGGGAAGGATGTTGTTGCCATAGCAACAGGGCAGGAGGGTGAGGAGCGGGGCTGTTGCCATAGCAACAAGATAGGGGCGCTTTGCCGTGGCAACCGCAGCCTCCACTCAGGTTCGTCCTCCCCATTGCCACGGCAACACGGGGAGATGGGGAGCGGGCGGCTGTCTCCGTGGCGACAGAGAAGAAGGGAAGGCAAGGAGACGGTTGTTATGGAGACAGCGGGAGGAGGGTATCTCCCTGGCAACACACATCCTCTGCCATAGCAACAGGGAGCGGGGAGGCTGCGGGGGATTATCACCGCTTCAGGAAACTGCCCTACAAATTTGCCAGCCCAGGCGTGAAGGCGGCTCCGCGGCCGAGAACCCCGAGTACAGCGAGCAGGGGGAGGAGAAAAGGTGGTATGGAGGGGTGGGGGGTCACAAGGAGCAGGGGGTGAGCAGGGCAACGGTACTAGGACATAAGTCTTAGGGCTGAAAATGCTGCATTGGGATGGTCCCATCCGACACTGGAGCATCACAGCACTGAGGACGAGCCCTGTGTGCTTATTTGGTTCACTTACGGGGCTGTCGATCGTGGCAGTATGAGAGGAGACATCTCCGTTATTAACCAGGGAAGTTTCATGTGTATATATATTACGGTATGTGGGCTTTCAGCAGGAGAAATCAGAGGTACGTTGCGGTTAAAACCAGCCACATTTTGCCCTGGTGATGGTCCCTGCTCTGGCCATGGATCTGCACATCGTGTCCAAGAGAGAAAAGTGTTTTAAACACCCTGCATGCCTTCAGCATGAAGAGCAAAAGCACACCCTGCTAAAAACCTTACCAGGAGGCTCACCTTGAGCTCAAAAGAGACACCGGTGTGCAAGTGTCAGCAGTAAGCAATTGAGGGACTCATGCAGCTGGGCTTTGTTCCCTGTGCATGGGCAAGGTGTCAGATTTAGGTCACCCTGCTCCCGTGTTTAATCTGTGGTTCCTGCGAGCACCTTTTAATGCAGCCCTAAAAGGCTTTGACACGGCATGATGCAACACGCAGCGAGTGTGAGGCAGTGCTGGAGCTGAAGGGAATGGGAGCATAGGATTCCTGCAGGGTGGAATTGCTGCTTTTCAAGGCTGCTTCCCCCAGGTGACTGCATCTCCTGCAGGAGCTCTTCTGCCTGCTCAGCAGTAACAGAATCCCGTGACCCTCTCGCATTTAAAGCAAGACTTTCACTGCCAGCAAGAAGGAAACCCAAACACATCGAGTTTGGGGCAGCAGGGAGAGCACGCACTGTATATAATTTCATCCACTTGGCAGATCTGGGGAGATGAAGATCTCCAATGCCCCTTGAAGTGAGCGGATTGCCTTCCCCCCTCCCTATAGGGTTACTGCTAACCCCAACCCCACGGAGCAGTGATCACCCCACAGTGGCTGCCCTGAGCCCCATTAGTGGGGTTTATAGTTACACACAAGCCTTCTCAGAGCTCATCATGGGCTCCCTGCCCCTCCTTGCCAATAAAGCCACTTAAAAGGAGGAAAAATAATCCAGGTGATTTGTTTCCCTGGCCCCACTTCTCTTTCAACCGCTGGGAGAAAGTCAGGACAAAGGACTGGGTTTTGCTGGCAGCCAAGCCCTGGTGCAAACGGATTCATTTCTGGGTCAGGGACACCCCAAAACACAGGGTCCCACCCCAAGGAGCATCATGGCCCAATGCGCAGAGCCCCACAGCCGCCTGCATGGATAAAAAGCCAACCCAGGTTGTTGCAAACGTATTTATTTATGAAGTGTGAGGTAATGAAGAAAGTGCTAAATCCAACCACAGTGTTAACTCTAACAGTTCTCAGCAGGTCAGCAGGGTCCCAAGGGTGCTGCCCTGTGGGGCCACCCCTGCCAACACCCCAGGAGGGGACAAGGGACTCTGCCACCACATACCCCACCGCAGGATGGCACAGGCAGGGGGAAGCATCAAAGGCAGCCCCTTGCCCCCAACCTGCCCCCTGCAGCCATGCTCATGCAAAGCCCAAAGCTTCGCAGGGGATGCTCAGTGGCTGCTGCTGAGGGAGCAGTTGCAAGGGTGGGAAAGGAGGACACAAGGATGGGAAAGGGGAAAAACCCCGTTATTGCAAATGGGTGGTTTGGAGGGGGGGGACCAGCTTCAACAAGGACTCAGCTCAAGGGCCCAGCAGGAGCCAGCCCCTTCCTGATCTCCCTAAAGTGCAGCAGGACTGAGCCCTCCCCGCAGCAGGAACCCCCCTCCAAAACAAGAGGTTTATATATATATATATAAAAAAAGCAAACTCTTTACCAATACTTCTCAAAAAGTGGTACAAAAATACAGTATAAAAACACAGCCTCCAGTATAAGACTTGCAGTTACAGCAGCAGTTTCTAGAACATCAAATCCAAGACAAGCTACTGCATGATGTGGTAAGAAAGTGAGGTACGGTCCAGCCGAGGAAGGGGATTGCCCACAGGGTGCTGTTAACACCGGTGAGAGACATCCTGCCATCACCATCTCCATTGGGATGCATCCAGAGGTGAGCCCTGGGCTGGGATGTCCATGTCTGCCTCTGCCTGCTTCCATGAGCCAAAGGTTACTTGGCATTTTCATGGTGAGATGGATGCACTAAGAACTCCCAGCAACTCTATCAGTGACAAACAGCAGAGAGGGGTGCTGGGAAAGGGGAATGGAGCTGAGCCCATGAATCTTAAGGGAAACCTTGCAGCACCCAGTGTCAAGGCAGACAATGCCACAGTGGGGGACCTCTGGCTGTGGCCCCATTCCCGCAACCAGGACAGCCACCGCATCCACCCTATATACAGCAACCACCTCATGCTCCAGCCCCCTGGGGCCAACAGTTCAACAACTGAACCAAACAAGAACATTAAGAAATGTGCAAATTGTGAGGGATTGGGGGGTTTTGGGGGGGAAGAGGGGGTGCAGCCGGGCGCTAGTGCCCCTTGAGGTGAGCAATCCGTTTGAGCAGCTGGGTCTGCCGCAGCCGGAGCTGCCGCTTCTCGGCCACCATCCTCCTCTCCGCAGCCAGGAGCGACTGCAGGTACTCGGAGGACTTGCTCAGGATCACCACTTTGGGGGTCTTGGGGCAGCTGGCGAGCCCGGGCACCTGGTCCCGCAGCGCCAGGAAGCGCGAGCGCAGGTCATTGCGCCGCTTGCGCTCCAGGTAGTTGTGGTTTTTCCTCTTGGCCACGTCCTCGCTGTCGGAGCCAGGGCTGCTGCTGGCTTTGGGCAAGCTGGGCTCAGGCAGTGTGGTAGCAGGGGCTGGTTCTGCTTGGGGGGTGCTTGGGGGCTTGTCCTCATCCTGCTGGGACGGCTCCGGCAGGGGACACGTGTCCGGAGGGGAGCGTGCGGCGTAGTTGTGCTGCTGCTGGTGGACGGAGATGTGGAAGCGTTTCATGCAGGGGTCCAAGGGGTCAGCGCGCAGTGTGATGGTGACCGGCTTCCTCAGGCCGAGCGATTGCCTCTTCTCCACTGTCACCACGTCGATCTCTTCACCTTCTGCTCAAAATGGACATGGAAAAAGAAAAGCCCCATCAGCTGGAGGCTCTGGGCACCCCTCAACTTGCCAGACCTCCCCACAGCCCCTGCACAATCACCCCACTGCCATCCCACAGAAAGCTTCCTCGTGCACTGCAAAGCCTCCAGAAGAGGTTGTGATTTAAGGGCTCTGCCAATATCATCCCAATGGAATCCTTCCCTCCACATCCAAGTGCATGGCCTCCCAAAATTGAATGGGGCTTTTCTTCTGCCTCACTTCAGCACCAGGAGCAGCACGCTTCCACGATAAAGGATCATCAGGCAATAATCACCCAAGCCTACCTATGCAGGGGTGGGGATAGGAGCAGCAGGATGCTGGGGACCTGGGACAGCCTAACTCCACGGTTCATCCTGGTCAGGTGCTCTCCTGGTCCATTGGAATTGTAAATGAGGGACTGGGGTGGGCAGAGCTCCCTTTTGTTCCCCTCAGCAGCAGCTTCTCACTCCAGTGACTTGTTACTTCTCACAAGTGATAAGCCCCATTCAGCTCAGGCTTCCCGGGGACAGCCCCCCCGCAGTGCAAGGGGGCAGGGAGAGGCAATGGGATCCCTCCAACAGACTTGGTGAACCCTGAAGGCGTCCCAAGCCCAGGAGGCAGTGGGTGCGGGTGTGTGTAGATCAGAGCTGTGAATGGCAAGACCAAGTATAACCGGACCCAAAGCACCCTGCCTGTGGTCATCGAGCTTGTCCCACTCCAGCAAGGCCCAGAGGCATGAAGCTGGCCCCTGGGCGCAGTGTGGTCACCTGGCTCCAGGCACAACTTCCAATGACTCTTGTTTTAGGGATGCATTTCCACCTTTCCCCTTAGTTTTGGGGGGGAAGTGGGGAATAGAGCCACTTGCTAAAGATGCCCCAAGATGCTCAACATCGCGGGCAGAGGATGGTCCTCCCTGTGACAGGGCCAGTGGTGGCCACAGATGGGCCCAGGAGCACCCTCCTGCTTGTGACCCCCAACCCACACCGCGGCTCCCCCACACCCCGACTCGGGGGGGTTCTGCCCAGCAAACCCCGGACACTGGAGGTACTGGGGACACCCTTACGGGTCACCAGTGTCACAACGCGGCCGGTCTCAGCCACGTGCGCACACAACATACCCCCCCCCCAGCCCAGCCGCTCATTAATAAAAGTCAAGCCGCGAAGCCCCGCCTACCAGAGCCGCCCATTGGCTGCCTGGCGGGGCCGGCCGGCTGCCGCGCGATCCCATTGGCCCTCTCCCCTGCCCGTCAGCGAGGCCGCTCTCATTGTTTGCAATCTGTTGCTTTTTGTTCGGCGCCCACGTGGCGCCACCGGATCCGGACCGGGACCCCCCCCCCCCCCAACGGGGCCGGTCCCACCGGTTGGGTTTAAGCCTCTTAACGCCCGCGACCCGCTTACCGACCGCGGGCCCCTAATGGCATTAAGCGCCCGTTTCGCACCGTGACTCAGAGCCGCGGCACCGGGGGATTTATTAACGGGGTCAAGGCACCGCGGGGCCGCAGCCGAGTAAACCCGGGTTCAATGGGAGCGGGGGAAACACGCACGACCCCAGGCGAATAAGGTTTGGGGTGGGGGGAGACACACACCCCCAAGCGTGTGTTTGTAAATGGGGTGATGAGGGTCCGAGGAGCGGGTGGCACCGCACTGCCCTGGGGTCACAGGCACCCGTCCGCTCCGCAGCCTGACCCCCGTGTAAACGCCGTCCCACCCCACACCGGACACGCTGCAGGGGATGCGCGATGTCCCCGCCCGCCCCGCGGAGCCCCCGGGGGGGTAACTTTGCTTTTTGTCCCCGGGAAAGCGCGTCCCGGGGCTGGAAAACCGCGGCGGTTACGAGCTGGGGCTCCCAAAGCCTCCCGTGGTGACCGGGTGTCCCCTCACCAACCTCCCCGCGAGGGTCCCGTGGGGACGGGAGGAGCGAGAGGGGATCCCCGAGCTCCACGCACCCCGTTGTGGATGAGGGGAACGGGAGCAGCGGAGCCCGCTTTGTTCGTGGGGCCGGGAGCGGGGCCCGCAACAAAGGCGCTGCCCGGCCGGGGACACGCGTGTCCGACCAGCGGGAGCATCACGGACAGAAGGCGGCCGGGCCAGGGGGAACCCACCCCGCGACCCCCTTCCTTACCGGAATCGCTTTGACCCTCGGATCCCGAGGACGCCGGGATCTTGCTCTCGGCCAGCGGGCAAAGGAAGACGGCGGCGGGATCCACGCACTCGCTGACGGAGCTGCTGAACCCCAAATCCTGCGCGAAGGAGGGCTTGTGGGGGGTGGCCCTCTGCGTGCCCGTGGAAAGTTTCTCCGTCATTGCCTTCTCCAGGCGCTCCCGGGCTGAAAACCCGCTCCACATGCAGTCCTTGAGGATGAAAGCGCTCAGGTTCCCGAAGATCTCGCTCGTCCCTATGAGATACTCCGGCTCTTCCCCGGGCCGGTAGTACCGGGAGAGCCCGCTCGAGCGCTCCTCAGCCCCGGAGCAGCAGCCTTTCTCGCCGGGGGCACCCAAGGGAGACATGGGGGGAGTGGGGACCAGCTCGAACTTCTTCCAGATGTCCTCGCTGGGCGCCGTGGAGCGGTGGAAATCCTCCTGGGCGTCGTGGTCGTAGAAGTAGTGTTGGTACGAGTCAAACTCCATCTCTGCATGGGGATGAGGGAACAGCAAGAAAAGGGGGCACTCCCCCAGCTTGACCTGCAGCCCCGCTCAGCAAAAGGGCACCCCCAGCCCCATGGATGAGGGGGAGACCCCCACCCCAATGCACCCACCGCGCCCGGCGCCAGCCCCCGACCCGGGACGGCGGGGGCATTGTTTCCCCCCGCTCTTATAGCCTGTGTAGGGCACCGGCCCCGCCTGCCCGCCAATCGCTGGCATGAGATTTGCATAGAGGGCGGGATCTTGCCCTTTTCCCGCCCTCTTGGTGAGGGGGGCCACGGTGTGAATGATGTCGCGGTTCCCCCCTAACTAACGGTGATGCTAACGGGGACGGTAACGGGGCCAACCCAGTGCCTGGCTGGGAGACCCTCGCTGCCCCCTGAGCATCCTGCCAGCTCCCGATGCTGTCCTCAGCCCATCGGGAAGGTCACGGTTTGGGGTCCCTGCCTCTGTGAGCACTGCAGGAAGAGGAAGGCTTTGGCTGAGGACACCCAGGCCAAGCACAGCAATGCCACCAGCCTGGGGACATCCAGCTCAGCCTGACAGCAAAGCAAGCTGCACAAATAGGGACAAGTCACAGGGAGCCATCGCCCACTGCCAGGGGCCACCCCGAGTGCCCTTTCCCATCACTCCCCCCACCAGCCTGGCCATCCACCCGCTCCCCATTGGCATCCCAAGCCCTCACCAGGCCATGGCCACCAGCCTCTGCTGCAGCCACTGTCACTGTGTGGCCATTCCCTGAGTGGCTCCAGCCCTGGGCACCAGTGGGGCCCCTTAGTGTTTGTGTCCTGACCATGGTGCCACCCAGGGTGGAGCCACATCCTCCTCAAAGCCCTCACAGGCCTGGTTGGGAGCTTTGCTGGAGCACCAGCATTGGAGGAGGTGGCACTTTATGCTCCACATGCACATGAGGAACGTTGTCTGTGCATGGAGAATGGGTCAGGATGTGATGCTGGCAGCACAGAGGCTGTGACCCAACAGGAGTACCTGGGAGCTGCTTGTGAAGCCAGGGCTGGCCTGGGATGCAGCAGAGCCCATCTCACGCGTGCAATTCCTACATCATCGCTGCCCAAACTCAGCTTTGCCCATGCAGTGCCCAGCACATCCAGGCTCAGGGTCCGAAGGGACTCGCTGTGTCCTGGGGCACCGGGGTGAGCCCAGCAGGATGCTCCATCCCTCCGCTGCCAAAGCGCTGCTAGGAAAGCCGACAAATGTTGTGAAAACACAGTGAGGCTTCCCCCGGCCGCCCCATGCTGCACACACACACACAACACACACGTGCTGCTACAAAGTCCACCCGGTTCCCCGCTGTGGGCGCTCACCCGCTTCAGCCCCAGTGCCCTCCCTTTGACACCCGCTGCAATCAGTGCCAGGGATCTGCCCTGACCGGCGGCACTGGGACCTGGAGGGGCTGGGGGCAAGCCCAGCCACCAGCACGGCCCAGTGCAGCCCAGTGCAGGTCAGCAAAGCACAGCTCAGTACAGCCCAGCACAGCCCAGTGCAGCTCAGCAAAGCACAGCCCAGTACAGCCCAGTGCAGCTCAGCAAAGCACAGCCCAGTACAGCCCAGTACAGCCCAGTGCAGCTCAGTGCAGGTCAGCAAAGCACAGCCCAGTACAGCCCAGTACAGCCCAGTGCAGCTCAGTGCAGGTCAGCAAAGCACAGCCCAGTACAGCCCAGCACGGCCCAGCGCAGCTCAGCAAAGCACAGCCCAGTGCAGCCCAGTGCAGGTCAGCAAAGCACAGCTCAGTGCAACCCAGCACAGCCCAGTGCAGGTCAGCAAAGCACAGCCCAGTACAGCCCAGCATGGCCCAGCGCAGCTCAGCAAAGCACAGCCCAGTGCAGCCCAGTGCAGCTCAGCAAAGCACAGCTCAGTACAGCCCAGCACGGCCCAGCGCAGCTCAGCAAAGCACAGCCCAGTGCAGCTCAGTGCAGGTCAGCAAAGCACAGCCCAGTGCAACCCAGCACAGCCCAGTGCAGCTCAGCAAAGCACAGCCCAGTGCAACCCAGCACAGCCCAGTGCAGGTCAGCAAAGCACAGCCCAGTACAGCCCAGCACAGCCCAGTGCAGCTCAGCAAAGCGCAGCCCATCACAGCCCAGTGCAGCCCAGCGTGAACCAGCGCATCCCAGCGCTGCCCAGCACGGTCCAGCACGGACCCGCCCCCGGCTGTCCCCAGCTTCCCCGGTTCCCCCCCTCCCGGTCCCTCCCGGTTCCCGGCACCGGCCGCCGGCACCGGCGGGCGCAGGGCGCCACCTGCTGGTCGCGGATGGGACCGAGGGAGGGAATCACCGCCCGCGGGGCGGCGGGGCCGGGGCTGCAGCACCCCACGGGGCCCCCCCTGGGTTGTCCCGAGCGGCCCTGAGCATCCCAATCCCGCCCGCATCAGGCAGAACCCAGGAGCATCCGGATCCCCTTCTCCCGTCCCCTTTGTGCTCCTGTCTCGTTCCCAGCCCCGCTGGGAGCCCTGGGCATGTCCCATGGTGTCAGCAGCCAGGCTGCTCCCGGCCCTTTGCTGTCCTGGGAAGCATGGGTGATGCCATCACTTTCTTTTAGGAGCCAAACTGCTCTGTCGGCACTAAGGGCAGAGGCTGCGCTGCTGCAGGGCCTCATCCTGCCCCAGCACCTGCAGGGACAGGAGGTCACGGTTGGGGACAGAGCCAGCACTGCCCCTGCCCGCCTGCTCCAACAGCAACACGTCTCCTGGCACAGGAGCAAAGGCTCCTGCGACCGGTAGCTCTCAGCCACGTCTCCTTCCCCTCCCTGCTGGCCTCAGAGACCTCCCCGGCTTTTCCCAGTGAGAGGCAGGAACTTGTCTCGGCTTCAAGGGGTTCCGGATGCTTTGAAGGTGAAAGAGCGGCGCTGGAGAGGGTTTAGGGGGGGCCGCGCACCCCTTTCACCGGCCCCTCCAGGCACTCTGCAAACAGCAACCCAGCGCCTCTTGTGCCAGCGCCGCCTGCACAAACAAGGGTGGGTGGTGGGTGATGGGTGATGGGTGATGGGTGGGAGCCCCAAGGGCCAGCCCTTGCCATGCCCCCCCCCCCCAGCCGCAGGGCGCTGGTCCGGTTCCATCACCAGCACCGAGCGTGTGCCCCCGGCTCTGGCCCAGCTGCGGCTGGCGCGGCTCCGGTGCATGACGCAAGGCAGGTCCCGGGTCCCCCGTGCCCTTTGGATCCCCACTGACAGCAGGGATGGACTTTGAGGCCCCAGTCCCAAAGAGCTTCCCCACGGGGGACACTCACCCTGAGCCTGATGGGTGTCCAGGGCGCCCTGAGCTGGGCTCTGTGTCTGTGTCCCCATCCCTTCGAGCCACCCTGCTGTCCCCATGGCAGTCCCCAGGGACAGGGGAGGCTGTGAGCTCTGGTGTTGACACATCCCAGCCCCATGTCATCCCCTTCATCCTCATGACACGCTCCCCAGGGTCTCACCCGGGAGCAATGTGGGCAATGCAGGGTGGCTGCTGCGTGCTGCCATGCAACGTGTCCCCTTTGTCCCCATGTAGCTGCTGGGGAGCAGCCACAGCTGGCTGGACCCTTGCAAAACACCAGCCCGAGCCCCTGTGGGGTATGGAAGCACCATGAAGTCCATATGATCAGCACCCAGATCAAGCTGGCTGCAGCTCCCTGGACAGCAGGCAGTGAAATCCAGAGGAGGGGGAGGCAAAAGCATCACCAGCTCCAGTCCTGCTGCCTCCTCACCCCCCCTAGGACCCATTTGCACACCCTGCCTGGTGCTAGGAGATGCCCCAAGCCCTGGAGAAGCTCTGCAGCCCCAAGCTGAGGAGCTTGGCTGCATCTCACAGCCCCTCACCAGCTCCATGTGTCCCCAGGCCGGTGCTCCCGGTCCTGGCAGGGCTGTCTGGTTTCGGGTGCGCTCATGCTTGCTCAGCTCCGGGCTGTGACGGATCCATGGCAGCAGGAGGTGTGGGCGCCGTCACCTTCCGGGGCAGCTCCCATCCCTATCCCCAGTCCTCAACCATGTCCCCAAGGGGCAAGCGCCTGGGTCCCAGCACCTAAAGGGTCACCCCAGGAGCCTGGTGGTGTTCCCAGTTCTGGGATCATGACAGCATCACTGTCAGAGGGGTGTTTGAGTTGTGGCCCTGCCTGTGTGATGTGAGCCCATCACCGTGGTCCTGGTGCCAAGGGTGATCCTGCGAGTGGTCCAGTCCCACCTACCCATGGGTTGCTGAGGACACCAAGCTTGGTGAGAGGTGCTGCAGCAGCATCCCCACTGGGATCAGCCTCTGGTGGTTCATTTATTGCCATGAGGATCTCCCAGAGCATCTGCTTGGGAGGGAGATCAAAAATCCCCTTGTGCAATACCAGGTTTGTGGGTGAAAATCCTCCTAATCGGAGGAAATCCTGGTCTTCCGATCTCTCCCATTCCACTTGTAAGGCAGGGCTACACCTATCTGCAGTCTGTCAGCACAGCCTCTGGCACAAAGCACGGCTCATTGTTCCCCTAAAGCTCCGTTTGCCCAAGAGGCAATTCCTCAGTGTTTCTCTCAAGGACAGGAATGCCAAAAGCTTGGAACAAAGGGAGCAGAGCAATAGCGCTGGGACCAAACACGATGGGGAGCTGACCCCTCCAGGAGGCAACACCATAGGCACAAGTCTACATCCCCCATACAATGTGCCTTTCTCCTGGGGATCTGGGGGCTCCTGGCTGATGCGGGGTGTCTGTCCTGAGCCTGTGGGTGCCTGATGCACTGGAGCCAGCTCAGCACAGAGCAAGGAGCCCAAGGCAGGTCTCTGCTGGACTGGCCAGGCCGGTGCTGCTGCCCACACCTCATCTTGCTTCAGGGTATTTTGAGTCACTGAGCAAATTCAGACATCCTGAAGCCTCCCATGGACCCCATCCCCAGGGGGTAGCATCCCTGAGCACCCAGCCTGGCCTTGTGCAGGGCTGTGATGTGCCCTGTGAGCAGGGGAACCCACTGCACGTGTTGGAAGGGCTGGAAACCCTGAGCTCAGCACCCTGAGGAGTTCAGCTCACACTGGGGCGTGCTTGGAGCTCCATGGCAGCGGCCACCCATCCCTCTCATCCCCAGCACAAGGTCTGCTGCATCCCAGGTCCCAGCTGCCTGCCCTTGTCCCCAGCTCAGCGCAGCTCCAAGTCCAGGCAGGCAGGCAGGCAGTGGCCCCGGTTGCCACGCTGGCCCTGCTGGCTCAGCCCCGCACCGCAGCCCCGTCTCACAGCACATCCCATGGCGATCTTTGTACCTGGTGGCCTGAGCCGAGCGGAGCTGGTGGCTGTCACTGTGGCAACGCAGCGCTGGCACCGGCCTATGTGCACCCAACAGCAGGCAAACAGCACCCAGCACAGCCGAGAGGTGCTGGCACCCATGGCCACGTGGCCATCTGGCACGAAGGACACTGCGGTGGCCCAGGGCAAAGTGCTGGGGACCAGGAGCCACCATCACCATTGAAGCTGCTGTGCAGAGACAGGGGCCATCCATGTGTGCTGCTGCTGAGGGGGGGTCCTGCTTTACATCAATGGGCTCACGCAGAGCGGGGTTAAGCATGGGGCTACACTGGGGCTGGCACCGAGGGTCTGCAGCCCCCCAGCCCTCACTGGTTGGTGCCACGGTGAGTGTAGGGGGCAGGAGGGTGATGGTGCCTCTTCCAGCCCTGTCCCTTTGTGGACCAATGCAGCCTCTGCCATCAACGAGGGTACCCGGGGGGAGGAGGATGGAGGGAATTGGGGCTGTTCAGCCTGGAGAAGAGAGAAGCTGCGTGGAGACCTCAGAGCAGCTTCCAGTGTGTGAAGGGGGCTACAAGGATGCTGGAGAAGGACATCAGGGACTGGAGCGATAGGAGAAGGGGAGATGGGTTCAGACTGAAACAGGGGAAGTTCAGGCTGGGTGTAAAGCAGAAGTTCTTCCCTGTGAGGGTGCTGAGGTGCTGGCACAGGGTGCCCAGAGAAGTGATAAATGCCCCATCCCTGGCAGTGTTCAAAGCCAGGTTGGACACAGGGGCTTGGGTGCCATGGTCTGGTGTGAGGAGCCCCTGCCCATGGCGCGGGGGTGGAACTGGATGCTCTTGAGGTCCTTTCCTACCCAAACCGCTCTGAGGGGGATGAGAAAGGGATGGAGGAAAGGGATGTGGATGGGGGGGTGAGGATGAGGGTGGGCCGGGGGGCGGGTGGGGGGGGGAGGAAGGGCCGGGCCGGAGGAGGAGGAGGAGGCGGAGCCGTTCCGGGGCGGGGCGCAGCCGGTACAAGGCCCGCGCGGGCGGCGGCGCGGCCCCATTCATCGCGCACGGCATGGCCGGGGGCGGCGGCGCGGAGCGGGCCCGGGCCGGGGGACTCCTGCCGCCCGCCTGCCGCCAGCCTCGCCGCAGGGTGAGCACCGGGACCGGGCTGGGGAGGATGGGACGGGACCGAACCGAACCGGACGGGACCGGACAGGGGGGTTGTGTGTGTGTGTATGGGGGGGTGAGGTCCCGTTCGCTCTAACGCCGATCCCCATTGCAGGAGAGCCGGGAGCGGCTGTCGGTGTGCAGCAAACTGTGCTACGCCGTCGGGGGGGCCCCTTACCAGATCACGGGCTGCGCGCTCGGCTTCTTCCTCCAGATCTACCTCCTGGACGTGGCGCAGGTACGGCCCGGGGGGGGGGGACACGACACGGACCGGGGCAGGGCTTTGCTGGTTCGCCCGCCCCGCTCGGGTTCCTCGGTCGCGGTCCTGCGGGTTCGTGCCCCACGCGTGGAGCAGAGCGGCCGCTCCGCGCCTCGGCTTCCCCAGGCGGTAGAACACGGGGTCGTGGTGTGTGTCCCGTGGGATCGGGATCCATCCCACAAAGCCGCGGTGTTTGGGGTGGAACAGGGAGGGAGAAGCACCCGTGGGGCACCTCGTGGTGGCTGTGGGTGGGTTTGAGGGAGCTCGGTGTGGAAGGAGCGTGGTTGGGCAATGCTGAGAGGGACTGGGTCACCGAGCCTCAAATCCCCCTGGAAGTGTTGGAGGATGAGGCCGTGGGATCCCCATGCAGTTGGGGAGGTCCTGAGGAGCTCAGGGAGGGCAGCCAAGGCTGTAGGGTTTTGTGTGTCCTAACACAAGGTCTTCTTCCTGCAGCTGGACCCTTTCTCCGCTTCCATCATCCTGTTTGTGGGGCGAGCCTGGGATGCTGTCACAGACCCCATGGTGGGCTTCTTTATCAGCAAGACATCATGGACCCGCTTTGGCCGCCTGATGCCCTGGTAAGAGCCGCCTGCAGCGCCCGCATCCCCGCTTGGTGTGTCATAGAGCTGCCAGTCAGCTTTGGGTGTCCCTTGGCATGGGGTTTGCGGGGCCGGACATGCTGATGCCCTATTTCACCCAGGTCAGGTGCCAACTGCCCCAAAAGGCCCCAAGGCGCTGCCAACAACTTGGGCTTCCAGTCTGTGCCTGTGACTCTGACTGGTCCCAAGCTGCCCTGTACAAGCAGGGCCCTGCGCCTGTAGCATCTCCTCCTGTCCCAAGCTGCCCTGGTGCCATGTCCTGATGCTGGACTTTGTTCCTTGGGCTGGCTGCGGAGCCCTGGCTGGTGCTAGCCGAGCAGATGGCATCGCACGCCTGGGCAGGAGGGACTGGGGGTGCATGGCCGATGCGCCGTGGTGGGAATGCCGGCTGACAGTCACGAGGATGCTCTTCAGGCAGGAGAACAGCTGCTGGGGATCGGGATGTCGGCACATGAGCGCTGCTGCCGCCCTCGGGAGCAGGGTGCTGAGCAAGGGGATGCCGAAGGGAGGCAGAGCAGGTGGGATGGGGTTTGCAAGCAGAGCCCCTAAAGGGTTCGTGTCTGTGCCCAGGGTGGATGTGGGATGTCTGTGAGCACCTGCCCCTGGACAGGCCATGACGTGTTGCAGGGTGCTAATGCTGAAGTGTGGGCATGGTGTGTTCTATGCTAAAATAACCCATGTCCTGGGTGCCTGTGGGATTGATGAAACACAATGCAGCCAAGAGGGTGGGCACGGGGGGGAGTGGAATTAGAGGGACACGCTCCTTTCCCCCATAGATTATACCCTCTGCTTCCAGGCTTTCCTGGAATAGCTCTGGGCAGCGGCGCTCGGCTCCATGCATGCCCTGAAATAGCTCCTCTGCAGCCGCGCGTGCGGCAGGGTCTGGGGTCTGGAGATTAGAGCCGGGCTCTGTAATCTCGTGTCCTCGGGGCGGGGATGGAGCGGCTGCATTCCTCCAAACGGCTCCCCCTTCCTTAGCCTTAGCCAGAGCTTTGTGCTGCTGCTGGGCCCCTCCGCAGTGCCTGCGAGGAGCTCGCTGCTGTTGAACGTGGCTGAGCCCGCTCTGGATGGGGCTGAGCTGAGCATGGGGTTCATCCTGGGGTGCTGCTGCCTCGGTATCCCCATGGGAAACCGGAGCCAGGAGCTGCTGCCTGACCCCGTGTAACCCTCCTGTGTGTATGTGAGGGTTTATTGCTCTGAAGGGTCTGATCTGTGAGGCCAAGCCCCAGCTCTTTGAATGGGAGAGGAGAGCTCCCCCGAGGGCCACCCCCTCTTTCCCTTTGGGTTCTTCCCTTTGAAAAGCCATTTTGGCGCCGTTTGTCCCGGCCTCCGCTCCCCATCCCCTCGACCACCACCGCAACGCTCCCTCCATTGCTCCCGGCCATCAATGGGGACCGAAGAGCCCCGGCTTTGAGCTCCCTGCCCCGGCTGCGCGCCCGCCGTGACCCACGGGGCTGGGCAGGGGTGTGCGAGCGCGGCACAAAGGAACACACCATCGCGGCGCGGCCAATGAGCGCCCGCGCGCGTCACCGTGGCCTCGGGTCACTCGCAGGCACCCCCGAGCTGGTGGGGGCCATGGCGGGTCCTGTAGGGACTCATTCACAGCTCCTCCACGCTGCGATGGGCGCGGGAGATGAGGGGATGGAACCCAATGCACCCCGTTTCCCCTTCCCCCCCCCCCCCCCCCCCCGCCGCCATCCCCATCCCATCGGGTGACGTGTGCGTGGAAGAATGTGCATGTGTCGGGTGCTCCCCGTCTGTAGGCATTCGGGTTCTGCCTCCTCCCTCTTCTTCCTCCTCCTCCTCCTCCTCCCCTCCCCAGCTTGCAACCATGGGTCCTGTACGTCAGCCCGGATGGAAAGATCTGCCTGTCCCGGGGCAGCCGAGGGGAAGCCCGGACCACGCAAGGCTCGGTCCCGTGTCCGGTTGTGCCGACTTGGTTCCTCATCCCCAGTCTGTCGAGTGCAGGGGGCTTGTAAATCCCCAAGCAAAATCCATCCCTAAACAGATGTGGATGCAGCCTCAACATCTGGCTCGCTTCCCTCCAGGAGGAGGAATTCCTTCCGTACCCCACAAGTGATGGGGGGGGGACCTGGGTGTTTGTTAATGTCCTGGTGCTGGGTAGAGCTGCTCCCTGCCTGGGCTGCAGCAGGGCAAGGGTTATGATGAAGCAAAGAGATGATCTTGGTGGCTTCCTGCTGCCGTCACCCTCGTTGGCCAGTGCCAGGACTGTTGCCAAAGCCCAGCCCTTGAGCAATCCCCCTTTTCCCGGTCCTCTGTTGCACTTCACATCCCATGCCCCTATACCCGCAGCTCTGGGAAGCTGGGCAGGGGTGGAAGAGGGAGCCAGGCTGCTGTTGGCTGCTGGTTGGCCCCATCCCTGCCCCGAACGGAGGTGACCCCAGGCTCGGGGGGGGGCTGTGACAGCAAAGCCAAGCTGGCGAGAGGCATTTGGCTGCTGGGAGCTGGGCTGTGCTGCCTGGCTGCTCCCCAGCCCTTGCTGGGACAAGGGAGGTGATTACACCCCGCTGGACACATGGCAGGGCTGCCTAGGGGGGAGAACGGGGCTGGTGATGAGAGCCATCCTAGGAGCCCCCAAATGAGATGCCTGAACCCCACTGGATGTGCTGCAGTGGGGAGAGCTGGGCTGGTGGGGTTACCCAGGTGCTGTGTAACATAAGGCTAATACTGTGTCCTCCCAAAGGATCATCTTCTCCACCCCATTCGCTGTCATCTCCTACTTCCTCATCTGGTTTGTGCCGGACATCTCCAGAGGCCAAGTGATGTGGTACCTTGTCTTCTACTGCATCTTCCAGACCCTTGTGACGGTGAGCTGGGCTCTGCACACACCAGGGCCAGTGGGTGAGGGATGGAGAGGGTGAATCCTTCTCCTTGCTGAGCAGGGGGCAGGTTCCCCCTGCCCCAGGTCCCATTGGCTCTCTCAGCACCTCTGAGCTAATTCTTGTGCTGTTGCAGTGCTTCCACGTGCCTTACTCAGCACTGACCATGTTCATCAGCAGGGAGCAGAGCGAGCGGGACTCGGCCACTGCCTACCGTAAGTGCTTGCTTCCCTCCTCCTCCATGCTGTGACCAAGCCTTGGCCTCTCTCCTTGCCTCAGTTTCCCCATCACTTTCCTTCCCTGTGGCTTTATCACTTGGAGGGGGAGCTGCAGGAGAGCTGGGCTGGCTCCTTTCTCCTGGGGAAGAGCAGTGAGTGGCAGCTCTGGGTGCTCCGAGTCCTGCTGGCTTCTCCCTCCAGGTATGACAGTGGAAGTGCTGGGCACTGTGCTGGGCACTGCCATCCAGGGCCAGATCGTGGGCAAGGCGGTTACCCCCTGCATCGAGAGCCCCCTCTTCATTGGCAAAGCCAACTCCTCGGTGGCCATGGAGGAGCTGAACATGACCCACGACACCGGCTCGCTCACAGACACTGTAAGCTGGGGGGGGGACCAGGCTGCCCTGGCCTTCTCAACCCATCTGCTCCTGGGACATCCCCATCCCTCATGATCCCTCCTCTCTTCCCAGAGGAACGCCTACATGATCGCTGCGGGGGTCATCGGGGGGCTCTACATCCTCTGCGCCGTGGTGCTGTCGGTGGGCGTGCGGGAGAAGAGAGGTGAGGCTGGAGACTGCACTGCTGGGAACGCTGTGGCTGCTGCCAGGGGCTCCCCTTGCTGTGCTCTTGGTGCCTTGCTCACGGCTCAAACCCTGGGGGATTGGGGCAGGAGGAGCTGAGGTCTGGGTCTGGGGCCTGGGGAAGGCGCTGCAGGAGCCGGAGCATCCTCAGGGTACGTTACAGCAGAGCCATGAGGACTTAGCTCTCTGCTCTGCACCATCAGAGATAAACGTTATCATACACAGCTCTGCCTGGCCAAGGTTTGCCAGTGCCAATTAGGGCATCCCGGGGTGACACGACAGCCAAAGTCCAGGACCTTCTGTTCTTCCCTTGCTCTGCTTTGCAACCAGCTCTGCTCACCCTGGGGGAATCACCAGGTCATTGTCTCCTCTCCTTGGGGCTGATGGATCCCTGTGTGAGGCATTGCCCTGGGATGCTGTAGGTGGGCAGGAGCTCTGCAGGGTGCTCAGCAGCAGGCAAGAGGCACCGCAGGCCTTGCACCCAAGGGTGCTGTTTCTATGGGTCTAATGATGGGCTCATTTGCTCCCCAGAGTCCTCTGAGCTGCAGTCGGACGAGCCTGTCTCCTTCTTCCAGGGGCTGAAGCTGGTGATGAACCACGGTGCCTACATCAAGCTCATTGCCGGCTTCCTCTTCACCTCCCTGGCCTTCATGGTAAGCACAGCTTGGGGATGGCTGCAGGGACCCAAACTGGATCCGGGTGGGCTGGGAGCTGCCTCGGGCAGAGAGGATGGATGTGGCTTCGTGCCATGGGATGGGTGGGATGTCGGGGTCCCGTCCCCCCTGACCTTCATCTGCTTCTTCCACAGCTGCTGGAGGGGAACTTTGCCCTCTTCTGCACCTACACCCTGGGCTTCCGCAACGAGTTCCAGAACGTCCTCCTGGCCATCATGGTGCGTACGGCCGGGTCCTGGGGCCAGGATGGGTGCTGCGAGTGCCGTGGGTGCTCCCAGTGAGCTGAGGGGAGGGAGGCCGTGGGGCTGCAATGGGCTGATGTGGGGACAGTGACCGAAGGTCCCCTGGGAGAAGGGGAGAGGGAGAAGGAGCTGCCAAACGTCCTGCAAAGCCCAGGCGGGTTGGTAGGAACAGGGGAGCCTTTGTTCCCATGTGAAGGCGGCCAGAGACAGGGCAGAGCAGGAGCCATGGGGGCCTTTTGTCCAAATCCTGCCACTTACCTCCCTTCCCCCGCCTCAAGAAAAGGATCTCGGTGTTTACTGCCAGGAAGATGGAGCAAAACAACTCCTTGAGAGCCCTTTCCAGCTTCTCCCTTCCCCTTTCCAGCCCTTCCCATGCTCCCTGCTCGGAGGAGTGGAGAGGTCCAAGGTGCCAAGGTCCCAAGAGCCTGGCTCTTGGCCATGGGGTGTGCAGGCAGTGGTGTCAGGATAGGTCCCTTCCCGGCACTGAGGATGGAGCTGGGTCCTCCCTGGTGTAGGCTGGTACCTGCTGTGCCCCAGGGGTGATGCAGCAGGAGGTGGCCCCATGCTCCTGCTCCAATTGCAGCTCCGCTGCCTGGGAGTGGAGGCAGGTGAGGAATGGGGTGAGGGCAGGGGCAGGAGCGTGGCCGTGGGCCAGCCCCGGAGCATGTGGAAAAGCTGGAAGCAGAACCCCCCTGTGGTGCTGATCCAGCTCTGGGGCAGCAGAACAAGAGGGGCATGGAGCTGCTGGAGAGAGGCCAGAGGAGGCTACAGAGATGCTGCAAGGGCTGGAGCATCCCTGCTCTGGAGCCAGACTGAGAGAGCTGGGCTGGGGCAGCCTGGAGAAGAGAAGGCTCCTGAAGGGGAGACCTTAGAGCAGCTCCAGTGCCTAAAGGGGCTGCAGGAAACCTGGAGAGGGGCTTGGGACAAGGGCCTGTAGGGACAGGCCAAGGGGAATGGCTTGAACCTGCCCGAGGGGAGACTGAGCTGAGCTCTTAGGCAGAAGCTCTTCCCTGTGAGGGTGCTGAGGCGCTGGCACAGGGTGCCCAGAGAAGCTGTGGCTGCCCCATCCCTGGCAGTGTTCAAGGCCAGGTTGGACACAGGGGCTTGGAGCAAGCTGCTCCAGTGGAAGGGGTCCCTGCCCATGGCAGGGGTTGGAGCTGGAGGAGCTTTAAGGTCCCTTCCAACCCAACCCATTCCATGGCTCTATGTGATGAGAGAGGCTGTGCCCTGGGGCTGCTCCTTGCAGGGAAGAGCTTTCCCCCAGTGGACAGCCTGGCCGGTGAATGACACCATCACCTCCTTCTCTGCCCATAGCTCTCGGCCACCTTGACCATTCCCCTCTGGCAGTGGTTCCTTACCCGCTTTGGGAAGAAGATGGCTGTCTACGTGGGCATCTCGGTGAGTGGGTCCCCATCAGCAACGAGCACGGTGTTTCCCATGTGGGGTGAGCAGGGCTGGGGCCCAGCACTGGGCAGGGGCTGCTACTAAGCAGGATTTGGTGCCTGGGTTGGGTACTGCTGGTGCCAGCCTGGTTTGTGTCCCCTCTCCAGTCTGCCATCCCCTTCCTCATCATGGTGGTTGTCCTGGACAGTAACCTCATCGTCACTTACATCGTGGCTGTTGCAGCTGGGATCAGCGTCGCAGCCGCCTTCCTCCTGCCCTGGTGAGTGCGAGGTCCTGGTGCTGGGCAAGGGGCTTCCAGGGCTGGAGCGGGTGGAAATCCCTGGAGGCCTTTTCGGGATGTTTTCAGCCCAAGATAGAGCTCATGAAGGGAAATCCTCTCTGCAGGGAGAGGAAACGCTTTGTTGGCTCAGTCCTAGTGCTCACCACCCTGCTGTCTGCACAGGTCCATGCTCCCGGATGTCATAGATGACTTCAAGCTGCAGCATCCTGACTCCCATGGCCATGAAGCCATTTTCTTCTCCTTTTATGTCTTCTTCACCAAGTTTACCTCTGGCGTCTCCCTGGGCATCTCCACACTTAGCTTAGAGTGAGTTCTTGCACGGGAGCTGAGGGCAGGGAGGGTGGGAAGCCAGCCTTGCACCCCTACATCGGGGTATCCCTGCTTCCCAAGGGCTGGGGGGAAATAGGGGGGTCTAAATCCCACTGTGGCTCTGTGTCTCTGCCTGCAGGGATGAGCTCATCTCCTACAAACTCAGTTTCCTTTGCCTGAAGGTACCTTTCTGTCCCCAGCTTTGCAGGGTACCAGACCCGGGGCTGCTCGCAGCCCAGTGATGTGAACTTCACCTTGAAGATGCTGGTGTCAGCCGTACCCGTGGGACTGATCCTGCTGGGCCTGCTCCTGTTCAAGCTGTACCCCATTGATGAGGAGAAGAGGAGGAAGAACAAGAAAGCCCTGCAGGACCTGAGGTGAGCACGTGCCCATGCTACGGAGCGCTGCATGCCAGCAGGGTGTGTGGGAGCAGGATCAGGCCCGGACTGGTTGGGACACAATGTGACTTGTCCGGGAATCCTCCAGGACCTGTGGGTGGTGGGGTGAGGGATGGCCCGGCTGGTTTTCCCAATCCCAGCTTCCAAAGTGATGGCGTGAAGTGCTTGAGATCAACGGGAACCCGCCCCCGGTTGCTAAAGGAAACCCATGTGGGGACTCCAAGGCTCACTCCGTGCCTCCTTCCCAACCCTTTTCCCGCAGGGAGGAGAGCAACAGCAGCTCCGAGTCGGATAACACAGAACTGGCCAGCATCGTGTGAGCCGCACCGGGGCTCTCCGGGGGGACCCTGCCCTGCAGGGCTGGAGCAGCCACCGCGGGCTCAGAGCATCCACGACCCGAGCATGAGATCTGTGCGGGTCTTGTGCCTTCCCCGGGATCCACGGAGCGCTGGTAGTGTACATTACACAGATAGACCCTGCCTCATGAGACAGAAGCACTATTCCCTGCTGGGTCCCGGGGAGCAGGAAAAGCCTGGAGCGGGATCCTTGTGCCCATCGGTGCCTGGCTGCTGCGGGGCCGATGCCTGTGGGACCGGCGGTAATGGTTAGTGTACATTACACTGTCAATGTGACCGCGCCAAGGACGTGGGCTCACCTCTGCTGTCTGTACATAGGACACCCATTTGGAAAGCTGTTCTTTTTTTATAGATCCTAATTAACTTAATGATGTAAATACGAAACCATTTCCTATTTGTATATGTCTGTACAGAGACGGAACTCGAGGACCTATTAATATTAATTTACATAAAAACGGGAAGCCAGCAGCATGGGTCTGGAGCGTTTCTTTGTCAGCGAGCCCAGGGTCCCTTTACAGAGCACTGAGGGGCAGGGCTGACTTCTCCTAAGTCAAAGGCACAGGAATGCCATAATCCAGGCAGGCGGCTGCGCCCCGCAGCCCCTTACCCCGTGCGGCTCCTCGCTCGGTGCCTTTGCTGCAGCAGCCCAACAAAGGCTCTATTCTTCTCCTCCTTTCCAAGAGGGAACGGGGGAGGAGAGGAGGGAGGAATGAAACCCAAGTGCTGCCAGCAAAGCCTGTGAGCCCAGGGCTGGAACCGGGAGAGGCAGCTGTGGAGCGGGGAATGCGGGCTGTGGGTGACACTGGGCGCGCTCTCAGGGCAGGGTGCAGGGCCCTGGGTATTTATACCCTGCTCTTGCATTCCTCACCCCGCAGCAGGAATGGGGAGAGCCCTGAGCCCTGCTCCACTGCACCCCTGCGGCAGCCGGTGCGATGCAGAGGGGAAAGCGAGCAGGGAGGATGCTCCAGGGGTACAGCAGCCCCCAGCAACCCCGGGGTGAGGGGACTGTGCTGGTTGTGTCCCATCCCATGGGCACTGCACTGGGAGGGACAGGGTTAGTGCCTTTTGTGAAGCACATTTGTCACAGCAAGAAATCCATGGGGCCAGAGCCTGGAGCTGAGAGCAGGGGTCTGGGGCTCAGCTTTTGTTCCATGTTTGGCTACAAAGGATTGGAGTGAGGATGGGGGTTTAAAAATAGCTGGAAAGGATTAGCCCATAGCTGGGAATGTGGGACCGGGATCCACGCTGCCACCACGCATGGGTGATGGAAGAAAGCAAAGGGATGAAGTGGGGTGGGTGGGAGCTGGCTTTGTGCTGAGCAGAGCCATGGCCGGGGTGTCCCCTGCTCCCCCCAGTATGGGGCATGCAGAAAGGACCAAGGCACAGCCCAAAGCAATGGGGGGACAAGTGAGAGCTGCCAATGGCAGGGCAGGTGGGAGCAATGTGTGCCCTCTGTGAGAGGAGGAGGAAGGCAGCGTCCAGCCAAGCACAGGGCTCAAGACTGTTGTGTGTGTTCTGACCCCTGCCCTGAGCTCTTGTCCTGGCCATTGGCTTCCTCTGAGGGGTGTGGGTGAAAGATTGCTGCTGCCTTTCCCTTTCTGAAGGCTCCAGCAGCGCTCAGGGCCGGCTGGTGTGGGCTTCACAAGGAGTCTCTGATGGGGCTTTTTCTGCAGCCAGCTCAAGGGACTAGAACCAAAGGGCTTGAATCAGAGCCCAGACATTCCTTGCTGAGCGCACCTCTTCTATTTGAGGCTGTTAAAAGAGGTGAGGGGGTGGAAAAATGGCCCTGGGAGCTGATAGCGCTGAGCCCTGGGCAGGTCTCCAGCCTTGAAGCAGAGATCACCTCTTGCCTCAGCTGTGCTTGCACAGGGCTTTCACTGCCAGCACCAAGAAAGCCTCTGAGGCCAGAATGGGCTGTGCTGGGCTTCATTCCACATGAACCCTGATGGAGCAAACGCATCCCAGTGTCCGGGTGCTCCCTGCAGGGCTGCGGTTCCATGGCTGGAGCTGGTGCTGCAAATGGGAGATGGAAGATGTGGGGGGGTCAGGCAGGTGCTGAGCTGGTGCCCTAATGCGAGATGGGCTGGGGCTGTGCTGCCCTTGTGCAGGTGCTGGGAGTCAGCCCCGATTCGCAGCTGATGGGGTTTAAGAGGCTGGATTAGGGTTATCCGTGCGGTGCCAGGGGCTTGGGCAGCCTTCCCCTGGGTCTGGAGCAGTGCTGGGGTTTCTGTTCCCTTTTGTTCACAAGGGAAAGAGCCTTTCACTGTACAGGGGTGCAGGTGGCAGCACCCAGGGCTTGCTCTGGGGAGGGCAGGCTGCTGCAGGCACCCTTCCACTGGTGCACCCCATGCCCTCCGGTTAAGCTGCAGGTCTCACCCTGAGCCCTTGGGGAGCCGGGGTGCCAGTGCTCCCAGTGCACAGAGCTGGGCCTGCACTGGGGGCAGCTCTGCCTCATGCAGCACAGAGGTCTCAGAAGGGGGCTGCCCTGTACTGTGGCCATGAGCAATGGATGTGCCGGAGGAAGGCAGAAGAAGGCACAGACACGTTCACTCCAACCCCAGGGCTCTTGTGTCCCCTGAAGGCTAAAACCAAGCAAATCTCAGTGTTAGCCTCCAAAGGGCAGCACAGGAACCTGCAGCATGGACCTTACATCCTCTGTTTGTCACCAAGGGTGGCTGTGCCAGGAGGCTGAGGCAGCGGGAGGGACAGCCCTGAGCTGAGAGTGACCACGCTGTGTCTGTTTAGCCTATGAGGGATAAATGGCAGCGTGGAAAGTCTCTCCTTGTAGAGGGTGAGGGATAACCCTCTCCTTATCCACAGGGAAAGGGCACAAAGCCTTGGGTTTATCTCGCAGTAGGAGAGATTGATGGGTGAGGAAGGCCCTGTGCTCCACACTGCAGCAGTGCTGGTGTCACAGACACTTCCAGCTGAACCAAGCACAGGCGCACACATAAAGGGGTGTCTCACAGTGCAGCCACCCTGCTGTGCTGGTGCACTCCATCAGGGAACAGATCCAGCTGGAAGCTGGCCTGGGAAGCTCTGGGAAGAAGCAGGATTGCCAAAGAGAGGCGCAGGGCAGTGGGTCACAGCGGGCAGGTCCATGGTCCTGGCACGCTGCTCCCAGGCCAGCTGCACAGGACAGAGGTGTTCCTGCCTGTCCCCATGGTCACCTTGTCTGTGCCACCTGCATGAGGTCACTCACCCGCTCTGCAAGCACAGACCGGAGGCTGCCGGCCCCTTTGGGTGGGCTTTGGTTAATGTTTTGCAAACCCACCCTGTCCAAGGATGGAAGCGGATGAAGCACCGCAGAACACGAACAGAGGCGGATGGAGCAGTGGGGTGGTTTCCTGCAGCCTTTATGGGGCTAAACCAGAAGGAAATACCCCCATGGTGCTTGGAGTAAGGCACCAAAACCACCCGGCAGCAGCACGGGGAAGCTGTAAGCTTTTTCCTAGAGCCAGGACAGTGCCGGGCATGGTTCATAGGCACCGGGAACCCCCAGAGCACCAGCGTAGTTTCCAGTCCTGTAAACAGGCACCAGTTCTACCCCAGCCTTACCAGGAACTTGGTCTTTGCTCCTCCAGGAACCACGTTCAGCTGAAGGGACCCACCCCAGAAGCAAACACACGGGCATGGGGCCGGTGAGCTCAGCTCTGCCTCCCCCTTAGTTCCACTTCCTCACGGATGCAGCTGAGAGAACATCTCCTGCTTGCCCTGCCCAGCGGGATCCCCCCGGCCCCCGCACCAGGAGGCAGGATGTGCTTGATCACTGCTGCGATTGCTGTAGGATGCTATGGGGCTAAGTCATTGACTGCAGAGAAAAGAGGCAGTTGTATCTTACTTTCTGTTTCGCATCGAGTCAGTTGATCCTAAGACGCGTCTGACGGCTGCAAGAGGCACATCAAGCGCTGGCAGGGTGGAAAATGAGGCAAGAAACCAGGATTATCAGACAAACAGCACCAGAGACTGGAGGGAGCTGCTTGGCTCCTCTCTAACTGGGAGGGAGGATGTGAGGACAATGGGCAGCGGTTGGGAGCCCGGGGCTGCACCAAGGGGACACCCAGCTCCTTGTGCTGAAGAACCAAACCTTCCGAGGGCTTCGTGCGCTGCTGCAGCTCGCAGGGAGCGCGGAGCAGCAGGAGCCGCCTCACTAGAGGTCAGCAGAGCCACGCTCCGGGCACCCCGCTCCCAGTCCCCTCGGTTGGGCTCCTGCAGACGGAGCCTGGGTCTGCGCTGGGAGCTCAGCAGCGGACAGGCCCGCTGCGGCAGACGTGACCATCTATGGTAGCGGACCAGCGGGCAGGAAGCGGTGCTGGAGGCAGCCGAGCTCAGCGCGCTTCCTCCTCCTTCCCGTCCCGTCAACGTGGCCCGGCTTCAGGAGCTCGGTGCCCACAGACCCGAGCGCAGCTCCCGGACCCCAAGGCACAGCTCCCTGCAGCAGGAGGGGGCCGCTGCCCTTCCTCCGACCACGGCACAGGCACCTTTTAAGAGCAAGCCCAGCCCTGACGGTGGAAGCAGCCGCGGGGCATTGGGTGGGGATAACCCCGCGCTGGCCCCAGGGACCTCCGCCTGGCTCCCGGTTGTTTTGCCCTTGACCGCCCTGCTCCCGGTCTCTCCAGGAACAAAGCAGGGACAACACCAACATTTACCCAGCCTCTGCTGAGCGCTCTGAGACCCTCGGGTCAAAGAGGGTCTGAGCACAAAGTGCTCCCTATCCCTAAGCACGGGAGCCCTGTAAGAAGGTTTTGATGCCTGGGACGAGCCAGCACACACCAACAGCAGAAGCATCTCTGCTGCACACAGCAGCGATGGCAGCCACCTCCTGCGCACAGCACTGGGGTCCAGCACCCCGAACCACCCCCGGCGCCTCTCGGGAGTCCCGGAGACGCTGAGGACCCCGATAGCCCCTCCCGCTGCCTGCCCGGCTGCCCCCGATGGGGGTCACAGCCCCTCTGCAGGGCCTGGGGCACCCCGAGGACCCCAGAGCTCCCACCAAGCCCCTCCCCGTGGCCTCGGGCCCCATCCAGCCCCCCTCCCCCCCCGCCCCGGCGGCAGCTCCCGCTTGGCCCCGCCCCCAAGCGAGACCCCGCCCTCCCTTGACCACACCCCTCGTCCTTTCTGGACCCGCCCACAGCCCTTTCCACCAATCGCAAGGCGGTGTCTGGCCGAAGCTCCGCCCCGCCGCGCTGTGCGCACTTCCGGCGCGCGGGGCGGGGGCCGGAAGCGGCGGGCGCGGGGGGTGCTGGGCGGCGCCGGGGCGGCGGCGGAGCGGGAGCGCGGCGGGAGCAGAGGTGAGGTCGGGCCCAGGCCAGGATCCGGACCGCGGGGTTCGCTCCGCCCCCGCCGGGGCCGCTGTGCGGGTGCAGGGGGGCGGGAGGATCCGGTCCGGCTGCGGGGCTCCGGTACCCGCCTCGGTTCCGGGTTCCTTGGGTGGCGGAGCGGGGAGAGCTCCCCTCCGGGGCCGTGAC